ATCTATTTATTATAGTTTAAACTGGCCAAATATATTTGACTGCACTCTGATTTTGTAAGATGTTTGTCAGTCTACCTATGTATCTGTTGTCTGTTTGTCCAGTCTGTTTAGACTTTACAGATTGTCTGTCCATGTTTGTCAATTTATCTGCTCTATAAACAGCTGTTCCTTTTTATTTGAGCTCAATAATACTTTCTACTTTCCTTTTTTTTTCATTTTAAGATCATTTAATCAAGGTTTATTTGGGTTATAGATTTAAAAAACCTGGGTTGCTAGCTGGTCAGAATGATGCTAAAACTAGTTAAACAAAATCTCCTGGGGTGAGGAAAGATTAGGCAAGATTTCAACTGATAGAAAAGAAAGAAGCCACCTCGACACTTTTTCATTATTTGGAGGTCCCAATAATTGACATATTCATTATTCATTCATTATTGAGATCCCAATAATTACTTAATTGGAGGTCCCAATAACTGCCATAGCCTTATGGGAGACACCCCAACTAAAGTTATAAAAAATATGTTAAGGTTCTTGATGCTAATACAAAGGTTTCATATGGCTAGGACAATTCATTTTTGCTGATCTTATGGTATCTTAAGTTATATTCATGCCTTCGAATATAAAATTGGGATTGTTTATGATGATAAACATGTTCTTTCATATCCAGGCACCTGCCTTTTTCTTGTGCTTCAGCCAAGAGATTCAAGCCAAACCAACATGAGGTCACCAGTCAAATGATAATTTTTAAACAAAAATTTATGTAAGGTCCATCAACAAAAGAATCTAAGAGCCAATGGGTTACAATTGTTATAACTTAAAAACAGTTTCTAAACTTAACTGTCAGCCCTAATGCTTATGCTTTGATTATACATGCCCTTGTATATATGCTTTGATTAAAGTTTGTTCTTGCCCAGAAGGTGCCAAACTCCAAGGCATTATACAGATAAAAAACAATAACAAGGGGCTGGGATTTAGCTCAGTGGTACAAGCACCTACCTGGCAAACATGAGGTAATGAGTTCAATCCCTGGTTCCAAAAAAAAATTAAAAATATGCTAAACTCCTTTTAGATTCCTTTTACTGCAACCCACCAGATCTTTTCCAGAAAAAGGTTACATAGCACATATTGAGGCCATAAGTAACTATACTCAATAGGCTTTAAATGACACCACAGCTGATAAAACAGGCCATCCTCCAAAATCAGATGGCATTAGACATTTTTTTTTTTGTCTTTTTCGTTTTTATCGGTACCAGGGATCGAACTCACGACTGCCTGCTTGCAAGGCAGGCGCTTATGCCACTGAGCTAAATCCCCAGCCCTGGCATTAGACATTCTAACAACATGGGAGGTACTTACACATTGTAAAAACTAAATATGTACATAAAAAATCAATGACATGTCAATTTCCAAAATTCCCTGGACTTTATCCTTATCCTCATGTGAAGCCATTACTAAAACTGTACTCATAATTATCCTGTTGATTCTGTTATTTGGCCCATGCATACTTAAATGATTCGTTGCCTTTGGCTCCTCTAGACTTAAAGCTATATGTCTATTCAAGATGAAAATGCCTGCTGTCTCCTGAGGGCTACTAGTTAAAAGCTCTGCCTATTTAGGGCCTGTGATCCCACATGGAAAAAAAAGTTGTATAAGAAGGTGATGATATCTAAAGCCTGCTAATCTGGGAGAAGTTTGATCCCTGGAAAATCCATCTTTGAATATTTTGTGTGTAGCCTGGTCTATGAAGTAAGCTTTTGAAGGATAGTTTTACCTTTCCTAGGTTCTTTAATTATGATAGTTGCATGCATCATCATAACACCTTGTCTTTTTATTTCTCCAATCTAGGATGCGTGCATTCACCAATGATATACTCCTTGTCCTGGCTGAAACACCTGGTACTAGCTTTTACATGGGCATCAGCTGTCATCCTGTCAACCATCCTAAACCCCAACACAATACCCCTGCCCAACAGGATGCAGTAAGAGAGTCTTTGCCCTTTTCCTAACAATAGAAAGACAGAAATGAAAGAATTTTGTCCTAGAATAATTTTGCCCTAGGACATTATGGTGGTGGTCTAATATGGTGGAAGGCCAAATAAGGAATGCTTATCCTGACACTTCCTCCTCCTCCTCTGATTATAACTTCTTCCTTCCTTTCCCCATGTACATGAAGAAAATCCAGTCAGCTTCTGGTGAGTCATAAATGCCAACCTCAAGCACCATACCTGGTCAAAGGTCACATACACTTTCCACCCCCTTATCTGGTCAGAGGAGAATGCCAAACCATGGAGGGTCGTGGGCTCCTCTCCACGTCCTTTAAATAAAAGGTCACTTTCACTTTTTCTTATATTCTCCTTCTCTATTGTGCCAGAAAACTCTAACAAACATGACCTTCATTAATGCTTTTTATAACCTATTAAATTTTACATACTTAATCTCTCAGCCTAATTGTTTCTTCTTGTTTGACAGCCATTAAACTACTGACCCTAGCCCAAGATCAAAACTGCCTCCACATCAGCAGTTCATCAAAAAATCCTTGGGGGAAAAAAAAATAACTGAGTTCCCTTGAACACAAAGATGAGTCCAAGTGTTCCTTGGTCTCCTTGGTCTCCCTTGTAAATAGGGCCAACACCTCTGTTCAGCAGGAAATAGCCATAAAAGAAGTTTTGGGGGAGGAGGGAGTAGTACAGTTATAAACAACAGGTCTGAGGTCACTCTTTTCCAGCCATTTAATTCTAAAAGTATCCTACAGCCCTTCCTCCTTCCATTGTCCTAAGAGAGATCGGAAATAAACAAAAACCCAAGTGATCGCTGATGTTCTGGTTGAGAATGCTTGGGGTTCGATCTCCCAGCTTGACCTTCAGTCCTCTGCACTCTATTCCCACCTCAGTAAGAATTCATAAACATGCACTACATGTCACGTTTATAATTAAGATTGGGGCTGGGGATTTAGCTCAGCGGCATAAGCGCCTGCCTTGTAAGCAGCCAGTCGTGAGTTCGATCCCTGGTACCGATAAAAACGAAAAAGACCAAAAAATAATAATAATAATAATTAAGATCAAAGTGAACAAGCAAGCATTTGAGAGCCTCCAAACTGACTCAGCACTCCATCAATATTCCAGTCCATCACACGTAGACATTCAGCAGGAGATACCTGGGATTAGGTGCATATCCTTTAAATTATAAAAGCCTGATTTACTGGGGGGCATGGTGTTTGCTACTTCCATATGCTATGACCTGTGTGCAGTGCTTTTACTTTTTGTCACCTGACACCATTTCTCTGTCTGTATCATATCTTTTATTGGCACGGATTTATCCTGAGCACAACTTCTCTTGATTTTCAACAAATGTAGCTGCTCATTGCTTCCTATTGGGTGTACTTGGAAATTCTTTGCACATCATACACAAAATCCTAGACTATACCTGCCCACTTTGCAGTAATACAGTTCCCAGCATCCTGGAAGCTGAACACTTCTGCTCATGTGCATTGTAGAACATTTATTTCTTCTTAGTAGTGCAATGAAACATTCATTTAGCAAATCAAGCAATTTTTCATGTATTAAGTAATTTTTTTTTTTTTTTTTTTGGTACAAGGATTGAACTCATGAACTTGTGCTTGACAGGCCTGATAATATGTTTTTTTGTTGTTGTTGGTGGTTTTTTTTGTTTTTTTTTTTTTTTGGTACAAGGATTGAACTCATGAACTTGTGCTTATGCCACTGAGCCAAATCCCCAGCTAAGTAATCTTTTTCAATTTTTTATTAGTATATATCTATAGTACATAATGCTCATACTCTTCATAGGGAGTTCATACACATCCATAATGCTTTCAAAATCCTTTTTTTTTTTATTCCTACCCTCTCTCCTCCTCCTGAAACACTCATATTAACTGTAATCAGGTAGCTCCTCCTATGTGTGACTTGCCAAATAAATATTACCAGGTTGAGGGTTCATGTCTCTCTTCAAGTTGGATTCCAGGTTCTTCTCATCTCAAAGAAATGAACAAAAGGAGCAAAAAGCAGTGGCAAATTGTACTTGAATACAAAGAGTGAGGGAGAAACTGGCTCTGCAGACCAAGCTTGGGCTGAATACAAGAGGAAAAAGCAGGATGAAAGAACAACTTGGGGGAAACAGGGCAAGCTGTGAGGAGGAAAGCCTTGACACTCAACTCTCCTTGGTGTCTATGTCCTTTACACTGTTCAAATCTCGAGGAAACCCACAGGAATTTCTACATATAGGTCCTGAGAGGTGGAGCTAGAATTTCATACTACAGGCTGATGTCAGGTCTAGGCCATCCTAGTGAAAACCTCCCGGAGTTCTCATGGAAAGTCCACATGCATGAGTTCCAGAACTGTTCTGTGGAAGTATTCCGGATCTTGTAATTAACAAGTCATTCCTACTTTCCCAGCCAGTTTTGCCCTGTCCTAATCTCCTATGACAAAACTATATGTGACAATTGTAACAATTTATAAAAAATTACCACAGGTTACAATTGTGTTCCAATATTCTGCTTTTCCTGTTTCTTCTTTGACAATTTTTTTTTTGTACCAAGGATCAAATTCACAACCTCACGCTTGCCAGGCAGGTACTCTGCCACTGAGCTAAGTCCCCAGCTCTCTCTTTTAACTACTAAATACAAGTGATCAATCAAAGAACTTTCACACTGAGCTATATCCTTGGCCTTTTTTTTTATTTTTTGAAATAATATTCTTGCCAAGTTGCTAATTGCCCAGGGTGGGCTGAAACTTGCAATCCTCCTGCTTCAACTTCCCAAGTGCTGGGATTACAAGTGTGCACAATGACACCAAGTTTAGAGTCCTTTGTCTAAATTAGTATATCTAATTATTATATATTAAACTGTGGTTGAACGTTAGCTAAAACAGGAAGCAAAAGTTACTTTATAGCCATATGGCAGAAAAGTATGTAGCCATTCAAAATGATTATGTAAGTCTATATTCATTGACCTGTAAGATGTTTTTTGTCTTTTATGGAAGAGTAGCTTACCTGCCAGGCATAGTGGCGCATGCCTATAATGCCTGCACTCAGGAGACCAAGGCAGGAGGATCACTGTGAATTTGAGGCCAGCCTGGGCTACATAGTGAATTCAAATCCAGCCTGAACTACATAGCAAGACCCTGTCTCAAAAAAACAAAAAAAAAGTTATAAATATATTATAAATGTATTAAAATACATTTCAAGAAAAAAACTAAGAAGGTCTACATCAAAATGGCAATTAAAAATGGCAATTTGCTATAAATATTTCATTACAATAAAATAGTAACAGGCCTGTGGGCCCATACCTGTGTCATGGCATGTGTAAGCAGCTAGTCAAGGTTGAAAACTCAGCACCAATAATGAATTAGAGAAGTAAGTGTATAAGAAAGGAAGATGACTTATTTGTAAAAGGGGAAAAAGGCAGAAAGCAGAAACAAGCTGCCCCAGAGAGACAGGGGATAAAAAGCCTTTGTTCCTGGTTTCTTTTATTAGGGATCCTTCCTTCCAGCTGCATACCTGGAATTTGTCACAGTGTGATGCTTCCCTGGGCTGTCCTTGGATGGGTCTCAGGTCAGAGGACCCTAACCCCAGCACGTTTGCTTATGTGTGCATTCCTTGGCGAGGGCGTTGATTTTTTTCTGCCCTTTTGTCCTTGTCAGGGCCATATATCCAGAGTATATAGGTTGGTTAGAGGAGCCTCACAGAAGAGGCAGCTCATCAAGCGAAGCAATACAAAGATTCTAGAGTGAAAATACGCACATATATAGCTGTATTTTAGGGTTAGCTGCATTTTATACACTAGCTGAGTTTCCTTTTAAATTAGGTATTTGCCCCCTTGTCTCCTTTGTACTTTATTGGAGGTGTGAGAGGGTGATTAACCTTCTCCTGTGCTTGTGGCTTTTTCTATGCTTTGCCTATCTTCCGCTGGCTCATCTCTCCATTAGACAGCATTCTTTTCTTTGTTGTAAATTGTTATGTTAGCCAGGTGTGGTGGCTCATGCATGTAATCCCAGCACTTGGGAGGCTGAGATGGGAGGATCGTTGTGAGTTCAAGACCAACCTGGGCTACAAAGTGAACCCAAGGCCAGCTCGAACTGCATAGGAGACCCCGTCTCAAAAGAGAAAAAAAAAAATTTCTTATGTTATTTGTGCTATATCTGGTGCCTTCTAGATCTGGCTTGTTTTATTTTTCCCTCTCTTTGCCTTTGTCCTTTTAATCGCTCCTAAAGGAATTCTTCCAGTAAAGGTTTACCTCTCCTTTAGTCAGGATTGGCCAGTGACTAACTGCAGAGGCAAAAGCTGTTTTTAGTAAGATTTTCTACTAATTTCCTTCATAAAGCTTAATGAGATCCTTATTCTACTTTTTCCCTGCTACCAGACCACTATCCCTGCATCTGCAAACCTAAAATGGCAAGACTGCAAGTTTAAGCACAGCTTGGCTAACTTAATGAGACTCTGTCAGAAAGAAAGAAAGAAAGAAAGAAAGAAAGAAAGAAAGAAAGAAAGAAAGAAAGAGAAAAGAGAAGAAAGAGCGAGTAAACTGAAGATATAGCCCCTGGGTTCAAGTCTCAGCACTGCAGAAAATCAAAAACAAAAAACAGCAGCTACTTCTGCATGTCATATTCCATGCTTTTTAAAAATAGTTATTTGTACTTTGCAGTTTTTCTGCAGTACCTATTTTTTTTTTACTATGCAATTCAGGCTGGCCCTAAACTCACTACATAGCCCAGGCTGGCCGAAATTGCAGCAATTCTCCTGCCTTAGCCTCCCGAGTACTGGGATTATGGGTACATGTGTCACCATGTGCAGCCCTAGATACATAAAAACTAAGATAAAAATGAGATAGTGATTTAAAACGATAGATAAAATATTAAGCCTAGTGCTCCTTTTAAGGCAGCATGATTCACTCTGGATTGCAGCCTTCCCCCTGTACACTGGCCATTGCAGTGAGCCTTTTTAAAATTTTTTTTTCAAAGTCCATCCAGGAAGGCAGTGATACTGTTGGATGAAAGCTAGATCTTCACTTCAATAGGGCAGGGATCCAGGCTAGCTAATGAAATGGTGAGACTATAAAATAGATGCACCTGAAATATGAAAAAAAAAAATGCATTCCAAAAATAATGCAGGAAGTCAAGACTAGGAAGAATGTTTTGATCTTAACAGTGAAATCTGGAAAAGATACAGGTACACAATCTTTTTTATATTTCTGGCCTTTTTTTAGTACATGTTTACAGTACATAATGATTACATTCATCATGGGGAAACAAAGCCCACCAAAAAAACTGTGCATGTAAGCAAGGGCATCAAAGTTAGGGTCTTGTGACCTGGGACCCATTCAAGGACATCCCAGGGTACCAACAGACTGTGACATGTTCTGCTATGAAAGAGATCATATGAAATTTTCATAGTCACAAAACAAAAGAAAGTTATAAATCTATACAACATCCCCGTATGGTGGTGCATACCTGTAATCTCGGCACTCCAGAGGCTGAGGCAGGAGGATAGCCATAAGTTCAAGGCCAGACTGCACTAAAGAGACCCTGTTGAAAAAAATACATATATACTGTCAGGTCTGACTTGAGAAAGACCTACAAAAGGCAGCCCTCAGCAACCAAGGATGGAGGGCCAATAAGAAGCTTAGGACTAGACCTGCAGTCATTCTGATCCCAGCCTTCTCTACACGCCTATGCTGAGTGTCCTTGCAGCTTTCAAACACTCCATCCTGATTCTTTGAAACTCTGACCCCTCAACCCTAAGCCCTATATATTCCTATCCTCCCCTCCAGATAGCTGCTGCTATCACTGATGTCAATCTACCCGTATGTAGGAGGAATACACTCCAGTCTTTCCCAGTCTTGGTTTCTGTGGGTTTCCTCATGCCACCATTTAATAAGTATAACAAAGATGACACAGGCCATTGGTTGGTGTGAGCATCAGGTAAGCCAGGCAGCAGCGAAGCAGGGAAATCTTTTCTTTAGGTTATGGATGTTATCTTAGAGATAGCACTCTTAGTTTTAGGCTTGGAGAAGGCTAAATGTCTGTTAAGCTTACTGGTATATTCATAGAAGTTCCTGAGCTTGTTATGAGAATGTTAAGTCTGATTTGAGACAAAGTTTCCCTACTGATTATAGTTTTATCTACTTAAATAACACATAATTCCTAAAGTAAGGCTAGTAACCATTGAACCTGCCATATTTTGTACTAGTGGTGTTAATTTGTATTGCCTCAGAAAAAGTGCTTTCCTAACATTGACACCAGAGCCTGAGGAACAGTTATCTGATAAAGTGGTGACTTCCCATATTGTATGTGTCCCTTGGTCCCTGACAGTACTGGAATAAGAAACCACTACATCAGGAAGAATGTGAAGTGTTACACTTCATTCTACATAAGGAAACTTAGCAGTAAACGAAATGTATTCAGTGAGTGAGTGAATGTAACATTCCTTGAATTAGTAAACAGTACACCTATGCCAATCTTTTTTGTGTATGTGTGATACTGGGAATCAAGCTCAGGACATTGCACTTGCCAGGCAGGTGCTTATGCTGCTGAGCTGTATCCCTGACCCCACATGCCAAGCGTTTTAACAAACTTTACACATGTTCTTTATATGGTCTGTTGTTATGATGTGGTTCTCAGAAGGCAAACAAAACACAACACAAAGTTAGGTCTGCGGGAAATCTCTGTTCCACAAAAGTATTTACAAAATGGAATTGTATCCGTATATTTTGTTTTCTAATATGTGTCTTTAACATTTTATATCATAAACTAAAATTTATCATGAAACATAACAAAAAGAATGTTAGATCTGATACATGAGTTAATAGCTATTAAAGGGCCTAAAGTAGCCCGCAGTAATTTTGGCACCAAATGATCCACAGCATTCCATGTCTCTACAATCACAATATTCTAATCACCCAAAACAGTGCTCAGGGTCTGCCACAGAGATGTGGCATCTCTACAGAACTTCAGTTCACACAGCTCCAGCAGGGCACCAGATCGGTCCTTGTTGCCATCTAAAGACTCAGAGTCACTTTATACCATTCTTTGTACCCTCTAGAATTACAGGGAAGTGAGTGCTCTGGGAAGTGGAAGGCTTTTCTTCCATGTCTTTGCAATTTGGAAAGTTGCCAGCCATTCAGGTTTTACTCAACCTGCTTTTTCCAGACCCCAGAATAAACTGTAGGCAGAAGCTCTGCTCTTTCTCAGATGGCAACTGCAATCCAGATTTAGGGAGGCTCTTATCTTTTTCCCTTGGAGAACAATTTCTCTTTATCTCTAGGAATCCTGGTTCTCCTTTTACCTAAGAGATGGGACACAGCCCCTAGCTCTTTCCAGGAAACCCCAAGAATCCTACCATCCCCTACCCACTTTTTTCCTATACTAGGAATTGAACCTGAAGCATCTTTGAGCTGCATCTCCAGCGCTTTGGGTTTGATTTTGAAACAGGGACTAAATTGCTAAATTGCCCAGGCCACAGTTGAACTTGTGATCCCCCTACCTCAGCTGCCCAGAGTGCTAGGATTATAGGTGTGTGCTACCACACCCAGCTGTTTTGTTTTTACCATTGCTCAGGTTTTGATGGGTCTCTGGATATCACACCTTCCTCATATTAGTGACCAAAATGCTTCATAACTGTTCTGCTTTTCTTCATTAAATAAAGCAAAATGAAGAGGCACTCTCTGAACTGTCACAGATCCCAGGCAATGAACCTTTCGAAGGTTTGCCTACAAGGCAGAGACGTGTGGCCCTGCACAGGCTGCACTGGGCTTAACCCCTTCTCACACAGGATGTTAACCCAGAAGACATGGCTCTTCACCTGATCAGAAATTGCTTTCCTTTGTTAAGGATCAACTTTTCCTCCTTTTAAGGCAAATAAACTCTTTTATCAGGGATCATTAAAACAGTCCTATAAACTACAAAGAGGATAATGCAACTATTCTATATTTTACTGCATATTTATTAGTTATACAGAATAATGGGTTTCACTATGGCCTATTTTATAATCATGTAGCATACTTTGATCATTTCTATCCTCATTGGTCCCGTGTTATACATTGAATGCCTGATTGTATGTACATGTCAGAAGAAGACTATCCACTAAAACAAGGCTGGTTTTTATTGTATGTGAATTCTCTCTCCATTAAGAACACCAACCTCAATCCAGTTTACTAACATGGGAAAATGGATAAAATAGTGGGAAGGAGTCGACTATATAAAGTTTGTGTGTATGCATGGATAAGGAGAAGGAGGAAATCAGAATTTAAAATTGTATTCTGTTGAATGAGGAGATACTGTCCTGCCTGATGCCGCTATGACCCTATCAGCAAATATTCCATTCTCAGCGAACAGGAATCCACCAGTGAGCTATGCTGTCCTAAGTACACAGAGCAGACCATAAAGATGAGACCTGGACAGGCCCAATGATCCCTCGAGCACAGGAGTCTTGAGGGTATCTACAAACCTGCCTGATGGTTCTGACCTTTCAGTGAACCCTGACCACTCGAATTGTATCCTCTAAACTCCATCGAAGAACAGCCTTCTCCCTAAACCCTATATAACTATACTTCTCCTCTGCCAGGGGGCTGACATCTTTCCAGATCTTGGCCTGTCCCCATGGGTCGCATTGCTTTTTATAAAAGCCTGTTCCTTGGTCTCTCACGAACTGTTTACATTTTCCTTTTAAGTGATGCTTTAATGCTATGAATTTGGAGCTGTAAACACCTTTGTTGTTTTCTTAGGATGCTAGGGGCTGAGCTCATTCAACTGGGGGCTTTGAGCCTGCTAGGCAAGCACCAGCACAGTACATCCCCACCCCTATTCATATAGAGGAATGAAACTCCCCACCTACTATGTCCGGTAGGAGTTCATGTTCTCTAAAATCTCTCTAAAATCGAAGAGTGAATTTTAGGAATAATAGAGGTTAAGAGTAGAATATATTTGAGAGAAAGGGAGCTTCTGTCTGAGAGACAGAAGGGGTCCCTAGCGCTTGCCAAGGACTCGTGTCTTTTCCAGGGATTTTTTATGGAGTAAAACCATGGGGTGAGACAGTTCGAGGTGGGGAAAAAACTGGGAACTCACAAGGCAGATGGGCATAAGGTGGGACAGAACTATGATCAACCAGTAAGACTAATAGTTCAGGTAAAATTGATTACATCAGGGACAAATGAAGCGAATCATGTAGAAAGTGGGCACTTAGAGATCAGTGACTCTTCTCTAGGGCGTTGAGATGGTGACTCCTGGCTTCCTCTGGGTGACAGGGAACTATTTAGAATATCAGTCCTTCAAAAAAAAAAGTAATTTAAAAAAGGGGGCTGGGGACTTAGCTCAGCGGTGTAAGTGCCTGCTTTGCAAGCGCATGGTACCAATAAAAAAAAAAAAAAAAAAAAGAATTATCAGTCCTTAGGATATGGATGCATTTGTTTCATCTTTTGTCCTGAGGCCTGGTCCACAGCAGATGTCTGTTTCCCCAACAGTTGCAAGGTATCTGGGCTTCTGCATTGGCCTTTGAGGACCTAGCCCTGTCTCACTGCCTATAATATTTATAACTAACTCAGCTGCCTGCAACACAATATTTTACAATTTCAATTGTTACATTTATTACAATGTATGGAGCTGTCACTGAAAATTAGTTTGCCTCATGAGCTTTGCTATGTTTCAAAAATTTCTTAAAGCATAAAGTTCTGGGTAGTGGCTGTAAGGGTGTAAAGTATATTAGAATTTAAAAATTCATGCACTTAACATTTGCAGGTTATATTATTTCTCAAAATAATAATTAATAAAGCTAGCAGTGGTGGTGCACACTTGTAATACCAGCACTGGGGAGGCTGAGGCAGGAGTACTGTTGAAAGTTGGAGACCACCCTAGGCTACAAAGTGAGCTTAATTAAGGGCAGCCTGAACTGCATAGTGCAACCATCTCAAAAAGACAAAAAAAATTTTTTTAAAAATCGAAACCAGGTGTGGAGGCACCCATCTGTAATCCCAGCACGTGGGTGGCTCAGACAGGCAGATTGCTAAGAGGCAATCTGGGCTACCCGGTGAATTTAAAAGCCTGATTGAACTACACCGGGCAACTTTGTCTCCAAAACAAATAAATAAAAGCTCATCAAGCCGTGCTGAGTGAGCGGTCAAGTAAATCCAAGACCAGATTCATACACTCAGAACTGGCCCCAGGGGCGTTCCCAACTCCCTCAATACCTGAGTTTGGGGAGCGTCTGAGTTTCACTAGAGGTCGTCTTCACGCAATAGGGAGCTGGCGCGAGGTCACCCCCGCAGCCTTCCCGCTCCCTGAGGAAGTGGGGGGAGGGGTCAAGTATCCCAGGCACAAGGACGCCACGGCCTCCCGCTGCCCAGCCGTTGCACCCCGGGGCAGCCGCGTGACGTCACCTCCCCACCCCCTTTCCCGGCGTGCGCCGCGAATAAGGCTCCTCACCCTCGGCGTCTGCCTGCCGCCCCAAGATGGCGGACACAATGAGTCGGTGTCGTGCCTGCTGGCTCTAAGGCGACCGCGAGGAAGGACAGTCAGGGAGGCCAAGCAGTCCAAGCGGGCGAGTGATAATCGAGGAGGAGGAGAAGGCGGTCGCCCGATTCGTGACCGCCCTCTACTCGCCACCAGCGCGCACCCGCCCCGCTCGGCTTGGCCCTCTGCAGCCCTCCCGCTCGGCGCCGGGCCCCGCCCCGACCGTGCGCCGCCGCCGCTGCCTCCAGCAGCCGCCGCCGCCATGAAGCTGACCGACAGCGTGCTGCGGAGCTTCCGCGTCGCCAAGGTGTTCCGCGAGAACTCGGACAAGATTAACTGTTTTGACTTCAGCCCCAACGGCGAGACGGTCATCTCGAGCAGCGACGATGACTCCATCGTGCTCTATGACTGCCAGGAGGGCAAGTGAGTGCGGCGGTCCCCGGGCCCGGCTCCGAGCACCTCCCTCTCCCGCTGGCGGCCGCGTCCCGTCTCCAGTCCCAGGCCTCCTTTGCACTTGCTCCTGACAGGGCCGCTTCCGCCCGGGGCTGTCCGCACATTTTTTTTGCTTGCTTTTAAAAGGACGGCAGCTGTAATGGTGATCCCGTGCGGGTTTTGTGTGTCTCCGGCCTTCTCGCTGCGCTCCTGCGCCGCCTTCCCAGCTCCACCTTGACCTTGACCTTTAAGCGCTCAAGCTGCGCCCTCGACCCCCGCAGAGCTTCCCGGACCCCGGGCTGTCAGAGGCGGCCGGTGGCGGGGCTGAGCGCTGCGCTGCAGGGCAGCGCTCCGGCCTGGCCAGCTGCAGCCCTCCTCGCGGTACCCTGATTCCGCCCTGGCGCGCAGCCCGTGCTCTGCTCCCCAGCTTCCCGCGCCGGCCTTTCTGCCTAAGCCGCGTGGGTCACCGTTCTTAGCAGTCAGGATTTACCTGTTGTCCCGCCCAGAGGCCCCTGGCCTTTTCTTCCTGTTCCAATTCATGGTAATCTTTTTAAATCCGGTGCCCACGTTTATCGTGAACTTTGAAAACTACATCTTGAAACTTTTCCTTTTTGCCAGACACAAGCCAGCGTGGCCTCCCATCCTGACTTCAGTGTGATCTTGTGTTAAAGAAAGCATCCCCGAACAATTTCGTATTTCCTCCTGCACTTTTCTTTAAAAAAAGTTTAAGGTTCACCTGGAATTACCAAAATTCTGTGGCTAGTCACGCGAGTTTTATGTTGTGTCAGATCATGTGGAGAACCATCACATCTGCATCTTTCTGCAGTACGTTATAAGCAGAGCACTGTGCCAGTTTCAGAGCCTGGGGTCCTTGTGCTGACCTTATGCCTGTGGACTTGTCCCAAGTGCTTGCTACATGGTGATTGTCTTTGACCAGAAACTGGTTTAAGTTAAATTTTATTTGCCCCCAACCACCTTTCCATAGCAGGGCTGGGAAGTATTTCGTTTTGTCAGACTTCGTTTTGTTGCCTAGTTCTAGGTCTTATTTTCTGAATCCTTGGTGGTGGTTGGTATTTTTGCTTTATGTTTTTTTCTCTGCTCTCTCCAGCTGTTCCACTTGCATGTTTTTGGGTTTGGTTTTTGTTTTGAGACAGGGTCTCCCTTTGTAGTTCAGGCTGCCATTGAACTGTGTAACTCAGGCTGGCATTGAACTCACTGTGATCCTCCTGCCTCTACTTCCAGAGTGCTGAGATTACAGGTGTGAGGTACTACACCCATTTTGTCTGTTTTTACAACAACCGCTTTTGGACTTCTCTCTCCGTTTGTGAAGTTGTTTATCTGAAGTAGTACTGTTTGGACTGAGCTATAATCTCCCTTTTCTCCACTGGGGCTATGAGAAAGTATTATGTAACTGGCTCTGGATTTGCCTGCAGTGTGTGAAAGTGGCCTGTCCTGGTGCTCACAGGGGAAAGGGAGTTGTTTTCTGAACACGTACTTCTGCTTCATGCTATTCACTTAGTGAATGGATTTCTGTCCAGGTCTGGCCTACTTGAATTGATTTGGAAGCAAGTGTAACATTTAAAGCTGGAGTAGAGGGTCAAAATTGTGGGCCTCTGATTTGCTTGATTAGTGATAGTACATAGTCCACCACAACCTGAGGATAGAAAATACATATCCTAGTTCAAGGAAAATATAGGATAGGTTGTGATAGTCTTTTGTCAGTTTATCCCCAAATATACCATCATGTCTAAACTTTAGGAAGTATGGTAGCAACATAAAGTCTTTTTTTGTAAAAGTAAAATGCCAATTCTATGAAATAATGCAGTTTATTCAGTCATGTAGTGTTTCTACATTGTTACAGACTGAAGAAAAGTATAAAAATGTTTCAAAGCACTTCCTGAAAAACATACCTGGAAGAAACAGGGAAGAGTGGTTATTTTGCCCCGTTTGATTTATCAGTCCGTGTATATGTATGTATTTTTTTTCCTGAGCCATTAGAATCTAAGTTGGAAATTGAAGCTCTCATGTCTAATTTTTTTTTTATTTTCACATAAGGTCTCACTATGTAGTCCAGGCCAGCCTTGAATTCACAGTGATCTTTCTGCCTCAGCCTCCCAAATGCTGAGATTACAGCCTTGTGCCACATGGGTGACTCTCTATTTCAACATAGATTTCATAAGCACAAAGGTAATTCTCTAACATAAGTAGAGCATAATTACCTGATAAAGGAAATTTGATATTGTAATATTGTAGGGTATGCTTTTTTGAATTTTCTCTGATGAATTATGACCTTGTTTCTTTGTGTTCTGTGGCATGGGAATAGCCCACTAGTTAGGAAACCTGAGTTCTAGTTTGGTGATATGACCAATCAGGTGCATAGCATGGGTCAAAATTACTTTCTTTAACTGCTGTAATTTTAACTAGTTATGTTGAGAAATGCATTGTAGACCTGATAAACATCAGAAGAAAAATAGTTTCCTAGGAAGGCATAGTATCTTTCATTAGATGTTATACGCTAAAACAAGACTTTGTACATAGTATTTTCCAGTTTATTGTCTATTTAAACTTTACAATGGGGTTCATCCATTGAGTGATGCTTCAACTTGGAAGATGACAAATGATATTGATTGTGGTAGGTACCGCACATTACTCAGAAAGAAAGTTTACTATTATTTTCTTTATTCATACCTAGTCATCAGAACCATAGTTTGAGAGAAGACAGTAAAATATTTGAAAAAGTATTGTGCGTGAACTCAGTAAAAGGTACTTGAAATGGTTGTGAGACATTAAGACCTTGCTTTCTTTCTTTGTTATTTTTGAGACGCAGTTTCATCATGCAGTTCAGGCTGGCCTTGAGCTCACTTTGTAGTCCAGGCTGGTTTCGAACTTCCAACGATCCTCCCACCTCAGCCCAGCTTTACCTTTTTTTTTTTTTTTTTTGTCTTTGAGATGGCGTCTCGCTATGCAGTTCAGGCCAGACCTTGCTTTCAAACTAGGAAATAAAATGATAGTTTATTAGGGACAAATCTCAGTGTTTTAATAAATTTGAGGCATATAAGCTACACCTCAGTGGAACCCACATTTTTTTCACCATTCTTTCATTTTGTTTTATGTTGCTTTGTATTAGACAGGATCTCTTGTCTATTGCAGGTTGGTCTTAAACTCCGTGAGCTTCTGGCTTCAGCCTCCTGAGTACTAAGATTATACACCACAGTTTGAAATTGGCTTTCTAGGGTCAAATGTAGGCCCTCATGCATGTCAAGCAAGTCCTGTACCACTGAGCCACATCCCCAGCTCTGTCTTTTCTGTTGTAGGTGGTCTGAAATGCTAGGGTTAACATCTACCACAGGTAGGTGTAAAGCTGACTGAATTTAGAGAGTAACTACACACATACTGTCTGAGGTTCATTATGATGGCAGTAACTTCATACGGAAAGCCTATAACATGAACTGGATCAGGTAGTCTGTTGATGTTTTTAGGAGTGAAGTATTATATCAAAAAGAGTAAACATGTGGAAAGTCCAGTTCAAACGAGGTCATAGTGACAACCCTTCCCTGTAAGTAGATTTTGTAGAGGGAAGCCCTCAGCCTCATTAACATTAATAAAAATTGAAAGTGCAAGTGATTGACATCTTAATACTGTCTGAGTCATTCGTTTAGCATGTAGGTTCCAAAAGGATTTTACACTGAGAGGGTTGACTTTTTCATAAATTATAATTCTTAGTAAATGTTGGTACAGGATTTGTTTTTTGTTGTTTCGTTTTTTGAAACAGGGACTGCTACATAGTCCATCCTGGCCTTAAACCCTGGCCTCCTGCCTCTGCTTTCCCAAAAGCTGGGATTATAGGCATGCACAGTTTGGTGCAGGATTTTGAAGTCCAGGTACCTATATGCAGAGTATTGTGGTAAAAGCTTGTTGCCTGACTTGGTACTAAGAATTGTTCTAGCATGCAAATCTAGCTCTATAGAGATTCTCGGGTTTGTTTAATAAAAAAAAAAAAAAAAAAAAGACTTTGTAACTTTCATAGCATGTGACAAAGTATGTATTTGATCACAAATTTTGTAGAGATCCATGTTTAGTTTTGCCTTCTGAAGAGTTACTAGCACATATTTGGACTCTGTACATGGGCAGATGTCATCTTCAACAGCAGTTATATTAGGAACGCAGCTAGTTTTGTATCTGCTTTCAGTTTGATAAATCATTGAATTATTTAAGAAAGCTTTCTAAGAGAATGACTTAAGAAAAGTTCTTGGGTTTAAGTATTTTGGTATCTTCCTGTGTTGTAATTTATGACTAGTGTTGTTTCTTCTGCCTTTCTCCCCAAATAGCTACATTACCCTTTTCTTTTTCTCAAAGGTTACTTGTAAATGTTGCCATAAAGCCTGAGTTGAGCTCCAACCTTTACTTGTGCTTCCTAACCTTGTCTTAGGTATTCAGAAGTATTCTGTATTCTTCCTTTTCTTTTTCTTTTTCTTTTTTTTTTTTTTTTTTTTTTTTTTTTTTTTTTTTTTTTTTTTTTTTTTTTTTTTTTTTGTGCCAGGGATTGAACCCACGACCTTGCGTTTGCCAAGCAGGCGTTTACACCGCTGAGGCGTTTACACCCCCTGCCCCCTTTTTTACTTTTTGATACTGGAAATCATATTCAGGATCTCACACTTATCAGGCAGGCACTTAGGCCCCTGAATTATGTCCCCAGCTGTATTGTTTATTCTTTAGACCAGTATTGTGTTGGATTATTTGTGGGTATGTTTGGGTGTGTGTTGTTCACTTGCTGGCTGGCAATTCTGGAAATGGAATCCAGGTAGGGCCTTCACACTGAACTGCAACTCCAGCAATTTTGTTTTGTTTCATTTTGTTTTTATCACATTTGTTTGTTTTAGAGACATGGTTTCACTGTGGAGTGCAGGCTGGCATTGAATTCACTTATTGCAACCCAGGCTGGTCTTGAACTCATGGTGGCCCTGTTGCCTAAACCTCGAGTTTGTTTTTGCCTTTTTTAAATCTTGAGACAGGATCTCACTGTGTTGTCCAGGGTGGTCTTAGACTTGTGATCTTCCTTCCTCAGCTTCCCAGAGTGCTAAGATTATAGATGTGCTTCCCCACCTCTAGCTTTTTTTTTTTTTTTTTTTAAGAAAGGAGGCCTCGCTGTTTTGTTGGACTGAAGCCATCCCTTCTTCCTCAGCCTCCCTTATAACTGGGACCACAGGCATGTGCCACTAATCCTCTTAATTGTTGTTTTACTCCATTTGGCTTGTTGTGAGTAGAGGTGATACTTTGTTTTGTTTTTTTAGACAGGGTCTCATTATGTAGTTCAGGCTTTCCTTGAACTCACTGTGTAACCTCGGCTGGCCTCGAACCTGAAGGAACCTCCTGTCTCAGCCTTCCCAAGTATTGGAATTACAAGTGCACATCATCACATCTATTTAATTCCTGCTTTTGGAAGAAACTGTTTCCTTCTAGCATTAGAACTTAACCAAGAATCCTTGCCCTTGCCACATCATTTACATGCCATCTTTATATGAAGTTCTCAGACTTTAGTGATAGAAGATTTTGATGGTATTTTCTCTATTTGTTCATCAGACCAAAGAGAACCCTGTACAGTAAGAAATATGGTGTGGACCTCATCAGATACACGCATGCGGCAAACACAGTTGTTTACAGCTCTAACAAAATAGATGGTGAGTAAGCCTTCTTTTGAGTATGGTCAGTTTCCCTTGTTAAATAGTTCATTGAATCTTTGTGGCTTCTTATGTTTTGGTTATAGTTACTTTAAATATTTTCCTGTGATGTTACCAATGCTAATTACATTGTTATGACTGGAAGAATGCTGGAACAAGCCAGTAGCACTATTGAAGGACTTAGAATTCAGTAGGAAAAATCTCTAGTTTACAGTAGGGGCTGGAAAGGGAAGCAGCTAATTATATTTGTGATTTGTACTTCTTGAAACTTGAAGAAGTACTTTGAGAACAAATAAAAGAATACTATACGTAGCAAGTGGTAAACTACTAGATCCTCCCATTTAAAGTATGTGGACTTGAGAAAAGTTTTCAGAAAGGCTTGAACTTTGATAGTTTAAGGGAAGTTAGAATTTCTGGTGTATGTCCAAACTTTTATAGGCTGTGTCTTGATGGTACAGAGACCTTGTTTGTCTTTTATTCCAAAGATTTTTTTTTTTTTTTTTTTTTTTTTTTTTTTTTTTTTTTTGTTATTAGGGATTGAAACAGGCATGCCATGCTAAGTCTCACACGGAGTTACATCCTCAGCCCTTACTATTTTGTATTTGGAGACAGGGTCTCAGTAAGTTGGCTGTGCTATACTTGCAGTCTTCCTTCCTGCCTAAGCCTCCTGATTAGCTAGCATTACAGGTGTGCACCACCTAAATTTATTTCTTTTTATACTCTACTCCCCTATTTTCCAGTGCTGGGCCTTGAGTATGCTAGGCAAGTGCTGTGCCACCAGCCAACCCCCAACCCTTTTCCTTTTTACTTCTAAATAAAGCTACTCTTTGAAGAGTAAAGATATTTAGAAAATAAGACTTGTAAATTTGGGGGCTGGGGATATGTGGCTCAGCAGCACAGTGCCTGCCTGGCCAGTAGGAGGTTGTGAATTAGATTCCCAGGACCAAAAATAGAATTGTAAATTTCTTTTTGTAATAAATGTTCCTATTTTTATCTGCATTTGCCCTAGGAGAAGTCCTTCTAAGTTGACAGATTGTCTTGGTGGTTGAGTTGTAACATTTCACACATTAGAATTTTTCTATTATTTTTAATGACATCGCTGATTTATTGTTTCCACTTTTTTATTGTTTTGTGTTTTGGTTTTGGTGAGGTGGTTTTGTTTTGTTTTGTTTTTGTACCAGAGATCAGACTCACGACCTCGCGCTTGCTAGGCAGGCGCTTATGCCACTGAGCTAAGTCCCCAGCTCCTTTGTTTTGTTTTTGTGAACAGTCTTTCTCGGTATGCTTCAGGCTAAGCTTGAACTTACAGTACTTTGCAAGCCTGGGTAGCCTTAAATTCATGGCAGTCCTCCTCCTCAGCTTCCCAAGTGCTGCGATCACAGGTCTGCAGTACAACATCAGGCTGTTTTGCTTTTTAGAGCAAGATTTTTGTAATGTTCAAAAAGGATTGGTTAGACTGCTGTTCTTGCTGTGTCCCAGTAAGTGGGCAAGTCTCTTTTGTATTTAATGAGACTTTTCTGCTTGTACTTGTTCCTGTACCTGTGCTTGATTTTTTTAAGTATATAGTTTCTGCTTTTCATGTCTATTTTGAAAATGGTTTTCTATATAAGCAGTGCAGTTGATGGTTTTACACACAAATATAAAAATACTAGGGTCCTGAGGAATTATGTATATGTAATCATCTAAATGACTGGCATATTTTTCCTGTTGGGTTGTTGTTCTGAGTGATTAATGAGGACTCTCCAAATGTGGTGCCAAATGAGGCACATGCTTGGCACTTGCAGCTCTGCTGCCAGGGCTATGCTATGGGGAGTTGCCTTTCCTGTTTCAAGTACATCCTGAAGACTTTCTCCAGCTCTGCGTTTCCCTTTGCCTGATTCCAGGCTGAGGTAGTAGTTTGTACAGTTTGAGGGTCTATGATACCACCCGGTATAGGAGATAACTGTACAGGCCACTGCCTTGCCAGGAACAGCGCACCAGCCACCAAGTGGGGCAGAGAGGATGGTGAAGCCCTGCTCATCTCTGGGAATCCAGGTAATGGGAGGGAATTTTTTCTTAGGCAGGTGAGTACTTCTAGCACTAGAACAACTAGGAGTGCTTGTCATTTAAGAAGATTGAATTTGTTTTCAAGGAAATTATGTGGATTCAGGTATTAAACCTAAAAAGGCGGGGCGTGGTACAGACCTATAATCCCAGCACTTGGGAGGCTGAGGCAGAAGGATCTCAATCTCAAGAGCTCAAGGCCAGCCTGAACTACATAGGGAGACCCCGTCTCAAAGAAAAAGAAACATTAAAAGGGTACTTTTTCCCCCTCCTAGTTTAGATGCATATTTCTTAGAAAGCATCCTTGTGAACCACTGGGTGAAACTCTTGATATTTTCAACTTGTTTATTTCTGTATTTTGTGTTTGGCCTTACAGTGGTCGTTGTATGCTTTTTTCCTCTGCACTTTGACACCACTTCCTATTACCTTTTTTCCAACAACAGCTTTTTCTTTTTCCTCATCCTTTTAGGAGCATAGTACTTGGAGGGTTTTTGTTGTTTTCTTTTTTGGCAGTACTGGGAACTGAGCTCAGGGCCGTCACTGATCTATATCCCTAGTCTTTTTTATTTTTTATTTTAAGACAAGGTCTCTGAAACCTTAGCCTCTCAAACCTTAGCTGGGATTGCAGATGTATACCACCACACCCAAGTTTTTCATTCGTTCTTTTTGTGGTGCTGGAGATTGAATCCAGGGCATTGCACGATGCTAACTAAGGATTCTACTGCTAAATTACATCCCCAGACCTAAACTGAGCTTGACTATGGAATCCTCCTGTCTCCACCTCCAAGAGCGCTGGGATTGCAGACATTCCTACCACATCTGGTTCAGTTCTATATTTTATGAGTATATGCTTGGGATACATCAGTTCTATTTACTTCATTCCCTTATCGCTACTACTCTTTTTTTGTTTCCTTTTTCAGATGGAATCATTCAAATTTTTTTTTTCTCAAATCCAGTTTTTCAAAGATAAAAAGAAAAAAACTACCTCAAAATTTCAAAGCACATCAGTCAGGGGGAACAATGGAATATACATTGTGCATTGTCATCCCCAAATCATTCACCCAGAGCACAAGACATCTGCGTTGAATTATCTGAACAATACCAGTATAAATCTTTCTCTTCGTAAACTCGGAGAAATCAGTTGTGTAACTATCTTAACTAGTTTGTACATATATATACACATGTATGTATGTTCTTTCTTTCAGCTTGTCACACTAATGAAACAACACAGTATTTATATGTGTGTCTTATTTATTTCACTGTTGCATCCATTTACCTATAAAAATCTCCAGTTTATCATTCTTTATGGCTGAGTAGTACTCCATTGTTAAAAAAAAACACATCTTTTTTTATCCATTCCTCAGTTGATGGGCATTTAGATTGTTTCCAAGATCTGGCTATTACACACTGTGCTGCTATAAACATGAGTGCACATATATCACTGTGGTATGATGTTTTTAATTCTTTTGAGAAGTACCCTGAAGGGGAATAGCTGGGTTGAATGAGACCTCTGGTCCTAATTGTTTTGAATCTCCACACTGATTTCTGTAGTGTATGAGAAGTGGATATACATTTTTGGATTGGCTCAGGTCTTTAAATCTGGGAGGACTGATTTTTTTTTTTTTTTTTTTTTTTTAAGTTCTTTATATGTTCTTGGTAGTAAGCCTTTGCCTGAGGAACAGCTGGCAAACATTTTCTCCCATATTGTGGGCTGTCTCTTCACTCTGTTGGTGGTTTCTTTTGCTGTGAAAAAAAAAAAAGCTTTCCAGTAGGGTGAGATCCCAGTTATTGATTCTGTGCACTCTGGGTTTTGTTCATAAAGTCTTGGCCTACACCAGTGTCCTCAAGAGTTTTACTTTATTTTCCAGCAGATTTAATATTTCTGTTTTAATATTAAAATCTTTGATCCATTCTGATTTTAACTTAGTACATGGTGAAAGATATGGGTCCAGTTTTAATCTTCAGCATGTGTAGAGCCAGTTTTTCAAGCACCATTTCTTAGAGGCTGTCTTTCTTCTAGTGAATGTGTTTGGCTCCTTTGTCAAAGGCAAGGTAGCTTACTGTGTGTGCTGTTTCTGCATCTTCTAATCTGTTACATTGATCTTTGGGTCTGTTTTGTTTTTGGGGGTTTTTTTTGTGTGTGTTTTGTTTTAGGGGTTGGTTTTTGTTGTGGGGGAGGTAGTTGGGGTTTTGAGTATTTGTTTGTTTTCCAGTACCACACTTGTTTTTTTTTATCACAATAGCTTTATAGTATAATTTCCAGTCAGGGATTATGTGCCCTGTCTTGTCTTTGTTGCCCGGGATGGCCTTTGCTATTCTAGGTCTCTTCTGGTTGCAAATGAATTTTAGGATTGTTCTCTCTAATTCTGTGAGATATGCTCTTGGAATTTTGATTGGGATTGTGTTGAGGTCTTGTACATCCTTTGTTAGACTGATTTCTAGGTATGTCTTTTTTTGGATGCTATTGTAAAAGGTATTGTTTCCTTGGTTTCTCTTTCAGTGATTTTGTTATGTGCATACAGGAAGGCTTGATTTTTGAGTGTTGACTTTGTATCCAGCTACGTTACTGAATTTGCTTATTAAATCTAAAAGACTTTTGGTGGAGTTTTTAGGGGCTACTATATAGAGTATCATATCATCTGCAAGTAACAGTTTTAACTGTGTCCTTTCCTATCTTTATTCTTTTATTTCTTTCTCTTGACTAATTGCTCCAGCTAAAGTTTCCAGGACTATGTTGAATAAGAATGGAGACAGGGGACATCTTTGTCTTGTTCCTGATTTTAAGAGTGAAAGCTTTCAGTTTTTGTCCATTTCGTATGATGTTGGCTATTGGTTTGTCATATAGGGCTTTTAGCAGATTCAGATAAAGACCATCTGTTCCAATTTTCTGTGGGGTTTTCATCATGAATGGGTGCTGGACTCTGTCAAAAGCTTTTTCTGCATCTGTTGAAATGATCATGAGATTTTTGTCCTTGGCTCTGGTAATATGGTGTATTACATATGAATATTGAACCATCCCTATATCCTTGGGATGAATCTCACTTGTTCATGGTGTACAATCTTTTTGATGATTTGCTGCAGTGTGTTTGCCAGTATCTTATTAAAGATTTTTTCATCAGTGTTTATTAGGGAGATTGGCCTGTAATTCTCTTTCTTAGTTGGGTCCTTCTCTGGTTTGGAATGGAGTAATGCTTGCTTCCAGGAATGAATCTGGGAGTGTTGCTTCTGAAATCATTTAGTTTCTAAGACTGTGCATATTATTTTTCTCAAGCACAAATTATTATTTCTTTCTTTAACATCATCAAAATCTTACTGATACGACTTGGTCTACTTCATGTGTTTGATTTCAGCATTTCTTGAGGTGTTACATCTCTCTCTCTGTTTGAGGCATTACCTCTTTCTCTGTTTTGTTTAGTTTCAATGTAAATTTTGTCTCCAGTTGAACATTGGGGTGGGTCAATACTATTTGAAAGCCCTGAACAAAAATATACCATCATGGACTTACCTAATCTTCAGCATAATGTAGTTGCTCACTACTTTGGTCCTGTTTCCTCAGCAGACACATTTTTAAGTTTGCCATTTTGTGAGTACTGAGACCAGTGACTTAATTCTTTTATTTATATTTTTTCTTTTGGCCAGGCTATCTTTGCAGGGCAATTATTATAAAGAACACAGAGATTGAGAGTAAAACAGTGATAACATGGGTTTTAAACTTTGCTCTATATGCTGTCAACTCTGCTTTTGAATTATGTGAAACTTATGTGCATACTTTTTTTTTTTTTTTTTTTTTTTTTTTTGGTCTTTTTGAGATGAGGTCTTGCTATGCAGTTCAGGCTGGCCTTGAGCTCACTTTGTAGCCCAGGCTGGTCTCAAAGTCTCAATGATCCTCCCACCTCAGCCTCCCGAGTGCTGGGATTACAGGCCGTTATGTGCCTAGCAAGAAGAATTATTCAGTGTTACAAATACTTTCCTTGAGTGGTGGGAGATGGTTGGTTCTTTAACTTTATCTTCAAAATGAAAATGCAAAGTAAATTCATTTTTAAATAGTACAGTATCATCATACCTTATTTATCTTTCTACAGACACTATTCGTTACCTGTCCTTACACGACAACAAATATATCAGATACTTTCCTGGACATAGCAAAAGGTAAGAACCAAGTGTTGTAGAATTAGTTACTGTGTTTGAGAATACAGACAATATGTGAGTGGAAAGATTTTTATTAGTGAATTGAAGTTAGCACTTCATTATTGTTTGACATTTTTCTTTATCTTTTCTTACTGATATACCTTAAATAGCTCTTAGACTGGTCGTGGTAGCATATGCCTATAAATCCTAGAATTTGGGGGATTGATGCAGAAGGATTGCCACAACTTTGAGGCCAACCTGGGCTGTACAGTGAGTTCAAGGCCAGCCTGAATTATGTAGTGAAACCCTACCTCAAAAAAAATTCAAGAGCCGGGCGTGGTGGCTCACCCTTGTAATCCCAGCACTCGGGGAAGGCTGAGGTGGGAAGATTGTTGTGAGTTTGAGACCAGCCTGGGCTACAAAGTGAGCTCAAGGCCAGCCTGAACTGTATAGCGAGACTCCGTCTCAAAAAGTCAAAAAAAATCCAATCAACTCTTGATTTAGAGGGGTAGGGGTTTCCAAAGGGAGAGGGTAGGGCTTTAGCGACAACTGAAATCTCATTTTAAATATGAATAAAAGACTGGAGGTTGGAAGATATAGCTTGTTGACAGAGCCTACACTTTGCATGCAGGAGGCCCTGTGTTCTGTCTCCAGAATCAAAACATACATATGATATTCTGGAATATCAAATCTTAGGTATATCTTAATAAAAGAATCATTTATGCCTTTGAAGCCTCCAGTATAGATGGCTCCTATTTCAGCAGGCCTTTACATAAAAATTTACCATTTAGAGGTGTGTGTGGGAGTGTGTGTGTGTCTGTGTGTGACAGAGACTGGACATTTCCTCCTGCTTTCTTTTATAAATGTACACAATCTTGGACTGAATGTGGGATAGAGCCCTAAGAAAGATGCAGAGGGCTGGAGATTTAGCTTAGCAGCATAAGCGCCTGCCTTGTAAGCAGGCAGTTGTGAATTTGATCCCCAGTACCGATAAAAATGAAAAAGACCAAAAAAAAGAAAGAAAGAAAGAAAGAGATGCATTGGGGCTCTCTCTGTTAAAATTGAATTTTTTTATAAATTTATTTTTTATTTTTTTGAGACAGGGTTTAACCATGTAATTCAGGCTAGCTTTGAACTCACTTTGTAGCCCAAACTGACCTAAGCATCCCCGGTTCTGGGATTATTGAAATGCCAGCAGGCCTGGCATTTTGTGGAATTCTTGTCTTTTGGTTGTGTATTTTTGTGTATTTTTCAGTCAGGGTCTTGCTATGTGTAGTTCAGACTAGCTTTGAATTCATTATGTGTTGCCATGCTGGCCTTGAACTTCAGGAGATCCTCCTGCTTCAGCTTCCCAGGTGCTGGCATTATAGGTGTGCACCACCATGTCCAGCTTCACCTGGAAGCTTATGTGAAACCCATGTTTCCAAATACTCAACTTTTTTATCTAATCTAATTCTTAGATTACTTCTTCATAATTGTCTTACCTTGCTGCCCAGAAATTTACTCAGAGTTCCTTATCCCAAATAGACTTTTTGAGCTTACCACCTTCTTTTCACTATCAAATTTAAAAGAAAAATCTACAAACTCCCATCCCCAATTCTACATATTTGATTACTGTTTAATCCCTTCTGCACATTGAAACTGCCCCCTCACCAGAATCAGGAATTTGATCCCCAGTACCAAAAAAAAAAATTTTCCCTTTTGTTGTAGTCTTTTGGATATGTGTTGCCTAGATACAAGCTTCCATGGGGTCAGGTTCTTGGTTCTTACAGTCCTTGTACTCCAGCATATAGAGTGTTTTTCATTAAGATAGACCTCTAAACACTTGAGCTGAATGCTATGGCATAAAATTTCCTGTCCATATGCATTCTGCTCGGTATTTTTTGTTAGTACATCACCTTTCTCAGAAGATTTTTGCTTAACGATATCTTAAGTTGAGGGACTAGTGCAAATGTTAATTGAGTTATACTGGATAAAGAGTTTTTTACTGGGAATATGGACACTCACCTGTGATCCCAGCACTTGCCGAGAGTTCTAGTTTACTACATAAAACTCATTTATATTTCATATATACCTTTATATCTTGAGTTTAATTTTGGTGTCCCTGCATTGTAACTGACCCCTCATTGTAAGTTCAGGTAGGCTTCTGGTGACACACTGGTAAACTACTTAGAAAGTTTCAGGGTTTTTTTTGTTTAAGAGTATTTTGTATTTGGGATTTTCACATTAAGAGATCCATATGACGAATATAACTGCTGTTAGCATAGGCCTGTGGTTCTCTTAAATGTGGTTCCCAGACCATCAGTCTCTCCTTCATGTGGAAGCTTATAAGAAACTCAGATTACCAGACCCTGTCCAGCTGTGCTGTGTTGGAAAATCTGGGAGTAGATTCCAACAGCCTAAATTAGCTTTTGTTTTGTTTGTTTGTTTTTTGAGACAAGGTCTCACTGTAAAGTTCAGGCTAGCCCTTGAATTTACTGTGTAGCTAAGGCTGGCCTCAGAGATCCCCCTGTCTCAGCCTCCTGAGTACTTGGATTATAGGCATGCACCGCCACATCTGGCTAACAATCTAGATTTTAAACTTGCCCTGCAAGTAAAACTGATGTCACTACAGATGGGAAACAGTGTAGTCCATTGCCATCCTGTTAAGGAATCTTGGGTTGGGTTGGGTTGGGTTGGGTTGGATTTTATTTTGAGACATTGTCTTGCTTTGTAGCCCAGCATGGCCATGAACTTCAGGCAGTCCTGCCTCAGCATTTGAAGTGCAAAGATTGTAGGTGGTTGCCACCATTATTAGCAGGCTTATTGAGATGTGGCTCACATACCATAAAATATACCCTTTTAAAATATACAAATCAAGGGCCAAGTGTGGTGGCATAATCCCAGCACTCAGGAGGCTGAGGCAAGAGAATCTTTGCAAGTTCGAGACGAGCCTAGGCTATAAGGTGAGCCCAAGGCCAGCCCGAAACTCATAGCAAGACCCTATCTCAAAAAGATAAAATATACAAATCAGTGGCCTTTTTTGTATATTCAGAGTTGGACAAAAATTATCACTATTCTCCTTTTTGTCTATGTAGATTTACAACATTTTTCTCAACATTTTTGGCCCTTTGTGTCCGGCTTCTTTCACTTAAAACGTGAAGTTTGCATAGTTTATCCATATTGTCGCATAATTTGGTGTTTCATTCCTCCTTACCATCAAATAATATTCATTGCATTTTATGTTCACACTGTCTATTTACCTGCTTATTAGGTAATAGACATTTGGGTTGTTTCCACTCTGGCTATTGTGAATAATGATCTTGTAATACATGGTATATTTTTTTGTGTGGACATACATTTTCAATTCTAGGATTGAAATTTCTAGGTCATTTATAATACCCTGTTTCAGAAAAACTGATTTCCAGGGTATTTGTACCATTTTGCATTTCCATCAGCAATTCCATTTCTCTACTATCCTCATGTTTATCAACATCTGATATCAACTCTCTTACTATACTGTACTAATGAATGTTAAATAGTATTTCACTGCGTTAGATTTGCACTAGAGCCATACATTTATATTTTTGGACTTATAAGTTTTTCATTATGCTAGTTGTCTTACATTATGCCATATGTACTTGTATATGTTTCCTTGAGTGACAGTGTTGGAAGAACAGCTATATGTAGGGCTTGCATCCAATTTTTGCTCATATTTTGCTTCAACTCCTATTTATGTTGATGCATTGCAGGGTGGTGGCCTTATCCATGTCACCTGTGGATGACACCTTCATTTCTGGGTCTCTTGATAAAACCATTCGACTTTGGGATCTCCGGTCTCCTAATTGCCAGGTAGGTAACAGTACCTCACAGTTAAACTTTTTGAGCATTTTTTTTTTTTAATGGCAGCTATAATTTTCAGTTTTCCTTTTTTTTTTTTTTTAAGACTAGTCAGGTGCAGTAGTGAGAAGAGGGGAAAGAGTAGAACAAGGAGTTCAATCTGTACTGACAAAGAAAATCTTTTCCTGGTAGATTGTAGCTTGGAAAGCAAATACCCTACTCAAGTACAGATTGTTTTAGACGCTGTGGTGTTAAAATCAAAGAGCAAACAAAACAAAACACTGGGCCAGAAATACAGCTCAGTGGCACAAGCACCTGCCTGGCAAGCGCAAGGTCCTGAGTTTGATTCCTGATACCAAAAAAAAAAAAGTTCCTAGAATCTTAGACCTATATCTTTTAGCCTCAGGAAATAACGTTTTTATTTGAACTCTGATCTGAAGTATGATGATCTCTTCTTTTAAAGCTTTTAGTTTTTTATTTCTCTATTCTGTAAGTAATCTGTTCATATTGTTTTCCTGTTTTCATTGGAAAAAGCAGATTAGATAGTGGGAGATCCTGTATCCCTTAACCTTTTTTTTTTTTTTTCCCTTGTTCTTAGTGACAGTCCGGCCTTGAACTCAACAGGAATCCTCCCAGCCTCCCAAGTGCTGGGATTACAGGCATATGCTACCATGCCTGGCATTCATTAACTTTTTGTCTGTTTTTTTCTCTTAGGGCCTCATGCATCTACAGGGCAAGCCAGTTTGTTCATTTGATCCAGAAGGGTTAATTTTTGCTGCCGGTGTTAACTCTGAAATGGTCAAGCTTTATGACCTTCGTTCTTTTGACAAGGTAAGTCTTTTATTAGTCTTTAGGGTATTCATTATGAAGTTTTAATTATGAAGTAGACTTTTTTATTTGCCTATTTGTTTGTCTCACTATGTAATCTAGTCCATCATTAATTTACAGTGTAGCCCAAGTTGACCTTGAACTCTTGATTTCCCTCCTTCAACCTCCCAATTACTGGAATCACAGGGATTGGCAACCGCATCTGGCTGAGGTGGATATTAAGAGCCTTTTTTGTGGTAGAGGAAGAATTTGGTGTAGATATCAGATGGCAGCAGCATCCTCTGCTTTCCCAGTAAAAAGTACTCTAAAGGAATAGAATGGGAGATGACTTAGACTGAAAGAATTACTTATGTGTATGGGCTTGGTGGGAGGTTGCTATCTTTATCTTTTGCAGGGGCCGTTTGCAACCTTTAAGATGCAGTATGATCGGACTTGTGAATGGACAGGACTTAAGTTCAGCAATGATGGCAAGCTCATACTGATTTCCACCAATGGCAGCTTCATCCGTCTCATCGATGCATTCAAAGGGGTGGTGATGCACACATTTGGGGTGAGCTGACAGCCTTTGAACATGGCCGTTTTCTGTCTTCATATCTCCTGGGCTGAGAATTATGTTAGCTGGTTAGCAGAGACCAGGAGTTATTCTTGGCTACTGAAGTGTATAGGTTTGCATTTTCTTCCTGTATGTGAACTGTTTCCTTTGAATTGAGACTTCGGCTTTTTACTGACTAAGTTTGGTATTAAGTATATAATGGTTCCTAACAATAAGTTTTTTTGCCTTCCTTGAATATGCAGTTTGAGTTAGGGGTTGGGTTGTATGTCAGCCATGTTTGGAACCTTGGTTACACTGTGCATGACAAAGAGAAGATTTCATGGAAAATAATGAGATATGTGTGCTAGTTTGGTGTTTCTAGGAAGTTTTTATGGGTGGCTTTGTAACAAGAGAACTATTCTGTTTCAGGGTTATGCCAACAGCAAAGCTGTCACACTAGAGGCTTCATTTACTCCAGACTCTCAGTTTATTATGATTGGTGAGCTACCCTTATTTCCCTTGGGTTTATTTCTTTGGTAATACGCATATATTTTTCTAAGTAAGCTAAGATATTATTTGTTTAATAGATTTGGGAGGGGGCAAGCATTGTTTTTATTTGTCATTATCTTTGGTACTGAGGATTGAACCCAGCAGCTTTGTTACCATATAATGAATTCATTAAAGTGTACAATCAATGATGAAACAAAAGGTGATGAACAGACAAATGGTGCAGGGATGACAGAAAAGGAAAACTACCTGCCATGCAGCAAATCAGGCTTTGGGGTGCAGAACTGAGAGAAGAAAAAGGGGGGAGCATGTGCTTTGGTCTGGGATTATATAGAAAGCTTCTACAATGCTGCCCACACTCCAGTGGAGGTGGTGATTAAGTAGGATGGTCCTGGGTTACTATTCAAGCTAAAGTGGGTGAAAAGGAATGGTTTCCTGAGCTCCTAGTATTCTGTTGTACTATTACCGTGAGAGACATGGTTCCCAAAAATTTTTGAGGTGCTGAAGGAGGAAGGGCCATCTTACTGCTACTTCCTACAAAGTGGGGGTGCTGGCCCTACCTATGCAAGGACCAAAGAACTCTTGCCCTGTCTGATGTAAGAGTTCACAGGGACCCGAGTTCTTCCTTTGAGGGTTTTTTTTAATGAGCCATAACATGAAAGTAGACTACAATCTTGGGATTGGGCCATCAATTTAACAGCTCCCAAGTAAGAAACAAATTTGACCAAGAGATTTAAGTTTGTAAAATCTAAATAATAAGATTATGAAAAGCATTAATAGTTCCTTGCAGATCTTAGAAATGCAGCCAGCCAACTCCTGTGCTGTGTATTCCATATTTTAGATCAGGTAGCATAGAAACTAGAACTCTCTTTCACAGACAAATATAACCCCTCTGTTTTAGCAGTTAGGAGATCTAATTCCCTATAATGTTATATGGCCACCATAGTAATAAATCTGTTTGGTCTTTAAGAATGGCAATCCTGGGCCTGAGAATGTAGCTCAGCGGTATAAGCACCTGCCTGGCAAGCACAAGACTCTGAGTTCAGTCCCCGGTACCAAAAAAAAGAATGGCAGTACTGTCAGGAAGTTCACCTAATCAAGTGATGATAAGCTTTTTAGAACTTTCAATGATAATAGCCCACTGTGGCATGCATACCATAGGTTTGCCATCACTGGCTTAGTCTGTCTAGTTCTTAGATCACTGTAAATAGGAAAAAGATGTGATTAGTTTTAAGGTTTTGGTTTTTTGGTTTGTGTGTGGTTTTTTTGCGGGGAGGGGGTGGTACCAGGGATCGAACTCATGACCTTACATTTGCCAGGCAGGTGCTTATGCTGCTGAGCTAAATCCCCAGTCCCAAAGGTTTTGTTTTGTGTAAGGAATCACTGTTCATTTTATCTCTGTTGGTGGCAATTTTTGAATCATCCACCAGGATCCCAGAAAAAAAAAAAGAGGTCATGTTACAACTTGGGGCAAGGACCTCACAGTGTAGCAAACAAAAGATAGTAGCTTTGCTTCTCTGGTTCAACAAGTTGATTGGTATTTTCTGAAAAGAAATACGAGCCTATAATCGCTTCACTCAGGAGGCTGAGGCAGGAGAATCACTGCAAATTCAAGTCTGCCCTGAATGACATGGCAAGACCCTATCTCAAAGCACCCCCAAAAAGAAACTTGAGGTTACCCACTGGTTTACTGGTGTGCTTCTTCGTTTTCTTGTGTCTCAGGCAATTTGGGTTTTGCCCTAGAAAGGGTAATCCAACTATTTCCTGTACTTTAATGGCAGGAGTCATCAGAAGGGTTGTGTAAAGGCCTTTGCACTTGAAGGTAAAAAAAGTACTGGGAGTTAGGATCCACAGGAGTAAAAGAGAAGGCATCTTTGAAGTGAAGGGCAGAGAGCCAATCATGTCTCCTGGCATCTGTGCTGAAAGGGTGTATGATGTCTCTGAGCTCTCATACTAGGCAATATTCTCCTGATGGCTTGACTGTTGGTAAAGTAGATGTATTACACAGGGACTGGCCTGGCACCAGTAACCCTGTAGCTGAAAAATGACCAATAATGGGCTTTATCTCCCACCTAGCTTTTTCCTAAGACCATTCTATCTTCTGTGAGGATATAGACTAGGGTCATTTGGCTGACTGACTACTGAGGTGGTCTTGACAGCCCTCCCGGGGCCATCATACCATGTTTGGGGATCTACTCTTAGCAGAGACATTGGACCCCATGGAGTTGGCCTGACTGGGTCCGTAGCAGCTAGAACACAGGTTACCAGAGACATGAATGTTAAGAGTGGCCCTGAGTCGAGCGAGCATATCTTCCAGTTACTGGTATGGGGCACTCTGGTATCATCACAAAGGCAAGTTGGAAAAGGAAATCTTGTAAAGAACGGGAGTGAAGAAAGCTGTCCAGCCAACTCCCTCAAAACCCACAACGTTAGGATGGGATGAAAGCTTACCCAGGTAAGAAACTAGAATTAAGATGCCCCAGAATCAGAAACACATAACTTGTTTTCCTGCTGCTTCACCTAAGGCTCCTGTAGGGTGATGGGAATACACTTTTTTTTTTTTTTTTTTTTTTTCTCGTCTTTTTCCTTTTTATCGGTACCAGAGATCGAACTCATGACCGCACACTTGCAAGGCAGGCACTTATGCCACTGAGCTAAACCCCCAGCCCTGGGAATATACTTCTGTAGAATCATGTGGGCTGCCCCAGGCACTGTCATTCACTGTCGGGACTGCTATGGTGATGAGTGCCCTCATCCCCCTCTAGGAATGAGGGCAGTCCGTCTTACAATGCCAGGGGTCTTCTCCCATGCTGTCACAGACTTGGCAAGGGTGTTGTAGTTTTAGAGAGCACTCCTTTGCCCACTGCCCCTTTCGCTTGTACTTGAAGCACTCTGACTTCCTTCCATTACTCTTGGGTTACTGAAGTTTCTCCTAGTGTTGTGAGCTTGAGGCTTGTTCATTAGGGCAAGCATAGCTCTAGGCTGCCTCTTTTCTTCATTCAAATCTTGTTTGCCTTCTGTTTGTTTTTTTTTGTTTGTTTGTTTGTTTGTTTGTTTTTCCTTTTTCTCTTTTGGTACCAGGAATCAAACTTACGACCTTGCACTCACCAGGCAGGCGCTTATGCTACTGACCTATATCCCTGGCCCTGTCTTCTACTCCTTTGTAGTTACTAAAAGACCAAATAATCCACACTGAGCAGTTGACATACCTGCTTGTGGGCCTGTTGGAGTTCCTGGAGCTTTTCTTTTTGTATCTGGAACTGACTGAGTAATAAAATACTGTCCTAGGATAATCTGACCACCTCTAGATTCCAGGTCTAATTAATGTATTTACAGAATGCTTCTTCAAACCAGAGCTGAAAAGCAGTTAGATATTCTTGTTTGTTTGTTTCTTTTTTGAGACAGGGTCTCGTGATTTGTAGTTTAGGCCAGTCTTGAACTCACTATGTAGAACACGCTAGCCTCAAACCTCCTGAGTGATAAGATTATAGATGTGCATCACCACACCCAGCTAGATTTTCATCAAAGGCTCAACTGATAGACCTGAGCTTATCATAGTTGCAGGTTTGGGCATTCTTTGTCACATACCCACAAAAATAATCTTGATATATAACTTTCATTCTTCTCCATACCATGTGTTAAAATGCCACCAGAGCCCCTCTTGGGATCCAGATAATGCAATAGTTAACTGATTTTCAGAGGTAAAGCTGAAAAAGCTTCATTATTAGCCTACTTAGCAGCTTTTACAGTCCTTTTCCTTTCTCCTGCTGTGTAGTAAGAAACCAGGATAAAACTACACATCATTCCAGGTCAGAGGAAAGGCCATTGTTACGATATGAAAGCAGGTCCTCAGACAGTCTACTTCATTTTCCTTGCATTGCTGAATGCCTGTAGCTAGAAAAGGGACTCACACCTGAAATTGGCACCTGCCACTCTTCAAAAGGGTAGAGTGGTAGCTGGCTTATAAATTGAGTTCCCTTGAATCTAGGGCCCAGGGATAGACAGACTGAGACCTGCTGAGGACTGGGCTTTACCTCCTGAGGGTACTGACTGAGCAGGCTGGTAAGGAGGTAGTGTGCAGGGAGGTGGAGCTGACAGCACCAGCTCTTGAGAGGAGGGTTGGTCTAGAGCAAAGATTAGGGCTCTGCGAGAGGGCCATAAAGGCCTGAATACAAGGCACTTCCCATTTTTTTTGTTTCTTCCAGTAAAAGAAATAATTGACATTATTTAGACTGCGAAGGGGTAGCCATGTCTCATTTTCCCCAAGTGGATACATAGGTTATTTTTTATTATGCAAGAACATAAGATGATCTTTCTGAAGCACCTTGCTTGAATCCCAGTGAATGAGGAGGCATCTAAGTGGAGAATCAAAAGGAATACACGCGGTATTCTTGTGAGGGTCCGTGGATAAAAAGAGAAGAAATTAGGTTGTGGGATCCTTATAGGCCTCTCCCCGGGTTAATTCCCAACCCATTATTGGGGGTGTTCCAGGACCATCTCCTGGTGGTTCTGAAGTGTGTGACCAGACAGGGCTGAAGCTACGGGATTCTTACAGGCCTATCCCTGGACCAACCCATTAGTGGGGATATTATAGAGCCACCCCTATGGATTCCTGTGCCTTTAGATCATAAAAACCTTATAGAGCCTTTCCCTAGGTCAGTTCTGCATGAGAGCTTTATAGGGAGAGCTTCTTCTAGTCTGTGATCCTGTCCGACTCTTACATCAGATGTTCCGCAGTAGAGCTGAACTTTTCTTGGAGGCTCAGCATCACAGCCCTAAGTGAGCACAGGTGCCATTTCCTTTGAACCTGTTGGATATCCCCCTTTAAACACAGTACATTTTCTGGTAAGGGCCCAGAACTGAGCTGCCTTACTGACTGAATACCTCTTTTCCAATTAATACCCTCTTTGAGGAGGTACATAACAAATTCTTTATTCAGTAAAACCCAGACCCCTGAGTTTTCCATAGATGTGGCTGTTGGATTTTGGCTAAGAAACAGGCACTTCCACAGATGATATTGCACTACCCTGCAGAATAGGAACAGAGACTAAAACGTCTCCAAAAAAACTCATCTTCCTAGATCAAACCGCAAACCATACATGTCTATTGACAAAAACCTCAAAAGTCAAACACAGTGAAAATTCAGTGAGCAAACATAGATTACACGTCCTTTTACGTAAGGACATAAATTTGAGGTCAGAGTAATACTAAAACTGAGGAGAATGGGGGAAAGGACTAGCATTAAAAAGTAACTCCAGAGTGTCGGGGGAGAATTTTTTTTTAGTACTGGAAATCGAACTCATGACCTCACACTTGCCAGGAAGGTGCTGTGCAGCTGAGCTATATCCCTGGCCCTCAAAGTGCAAAATTTAGAACACATAAATTTCTTTTTCCCACATGTACTTTCCAACTCTTTCCCTACATTAACAAACAGCCAAATAATTTGAATTCTTCCTTTGAAGAAAGCTTGGGGGCAGGAGGCATAAGAGACCCAGAAGTGGGTGGTGGGGGTAGAGCAGTAATTCATAAGGCGTACTCCTTCAGAGTGAGCGGATAACTTACTGGGCCCCACAAACATCACTAGAGGGAACTATCTCAATAGCCACCTGAGTCTACATTGTCAAGATACCACCCCAAAGGAAATAATATTAGGTAGACAGAGCACATGCCTCCTTTATAAGGAAGTGACCTGGAGAACTCTTTTTCAGGCCAAAGCATCTAGATCGCAGCTCCTGTCCAGCTCTAGGGCCCAAGGGCATGTTCGAGCCAGCCACCTTAGCATGCCTTGGCCTCATTTCTCTAGGGGGGTGAAAAACCACAGCTACTTAAAGGGGACACCCCTCCATGCTGCAAGGACCAACAGCAAGAGGGAACTTGCATAAACAGGCCCCACACAGTATGTGGAAGCCCTCCTGTTTCCTGCAAAAGTCAAAGCCTTAACTCTGTTGCCTCGTCATCTCCAAACAGCAATCAAATCAGTCTTTGGTGTCAGAAATGTTCCATATATCCATCAAGCAGCCTTAGTCACTTGTAAAAGAAGGAAAGTCCCCCCAACAGAGGAGTTACCTTCCATTGTGGCTGGGCTTCTTGGTTGCTGATGTCTGGTGAGGTCAGCTGATGTCTCAGGTATCTCCTGGCTGGCTTATCAAACTTTATGTGGTAAGTCTAAAAGATTTAAGCAAAGAATTACAAAGTATATGCTGGATGGTGAAAGAAAAGCAGCTCCATGTATTGAAGGTCACAGCTAAGTGGTTCCATAATAACAGAAAAGAAACATTGCAGGCAGTGCAGATACCTGAGGTTTTCAGTCTCACAAGCCAGAAAAAAGCATGTTTTGGTCTGAGGTTGTATAGAATTAATTCCCTTAGAGTGCTGTGCAAGCTCAAGTGGGTAAGAAGGGGAATGATTTCCTCAGCTCCCATTGTTCTGGCTACAGTGGGATACAACTTTAGCATTTTTTATTTTGAGACAGTTGTGCTAAATTAAGGGCCCAAATTTGTGATCTTCCTGCCTTAGCCCTCCTAGCGCTGAGATGGTTGGTGTGTGCTAAACCCAGCCCTTCACACTGAGCTGCATCCCTAACCCTTTTTGTATTTTTAATTGAAGATAGTGTCTTGTTAAATTGCCCAACCAGAGTTTGAACTTGTGATCTCTTCCTTCAATTCCACAAAGTGCTAGGATTATAGGCATGCATCACCATGCCTAGCTTTTAACAGTTAAACTCTCCTGCCTGTCCTGGAACCTGCATCTGTATTCGGGTTCCCTGGGCCACCTTAGTGCTATTCTAAAAGTACTACTTTATTAGCATTACTAACTTCCTGGAATAGCCCTGTGTTCAGCTGTCTTAGTGGCTAGATGTTGGTAGACTGATGGTATTCAACTTGGCTGAGGAAAATAAAGTTAAAGGAGAAATAGTTTGGCCTTGAACAAATATCCCTCTTCCCTTTTAATTTCTGCTGAGGCTTAGGTCCTGATGCTCGGCATCTTTCCTGAACCTAATTCATGTCTCTGTCTTAGTTTTGTATGTTTTGAGATACATTTTCTTTCATCTTCCTATTTAGGTTCAGAAGATGGCAAAATCCATGTGTGGAATGGTGAGAGTGGCATAAAGGTAGCAGTATTGGATGGTAAACACACAGGCCCCATCACCTGTTTGCAGTTCAACCCTAAGTTCATGACATTTGCCAGCGCGTGTTCCAACATGGTATGTCAGCGACGAGAGGTATCTTCTATGTAGGGTCCTCTAGTTGGGGCAGGTGGAGAAGGGGGCTCAGTGACCACAATAAGCTGTTCTGCTTAGGCATAAATACCCAAATCTGTGTTTCTCAGCTCTGGTTTCCCATTTCACCTTCCATTATGTGATCTCCAATTGGACTTGTCTTTCACTTTCATTGTTGTATTTAGGATCTAAGATCATTACTGAGCTCTCAAGAATTACAGGCCAAGTTTTCTTCAGTTTTAGGCCATACTACCTAGATTATCCTTGAAGCTGTTTTGCTTCTTAAGGATATGTCTTTTGTGACTCCATTGTTTCAGTTTTCCATTCCTTTTGGTGTATATTGAATTCCTCAGAAATCTTAGTTGATAATGACTCACTACTTAGAATTAACTTCGCACCCTTGTCCTATGTAATACTGGCAGAACAAAAGATCAGTGTGGTTTCCTCTTGGTGGTCTTCTAAATCTATCTGATTATTTGGGAATGAGCATTTTATTACTAGCCTTTCCCAGAGCATGTTGCCCTTCCTGTCTCCCCAGTCCCACTCCGTGCTGTTTACTTGTTTAATAGTGCTGGATATCAAATCCAGAGGCTTCATGGTTGGTAGACAGGGGCTGTTCTACTCCCTTCTTTAGAAATCAAAATAATGTCAGAAAAAGCACAGCAAAGCTATCCAGTCTCTCTTGGGGTTTTTTTGTTTTGGTTTCTTTTAGATCAGGCAGGAGAGCCTGTCTGAGGTTACCTGGTAGAAGAGTAGTCATGTCAGCTTACCTATACTCGAGGACTTTTTTCCCTACAAAACTAGATCACTGTGGTACCTTGTAGACAGTGAAAGCTGAAGGGAAACAGAACCAGTACACTTCCACCTGAGGTGGGGTGGTGGGAGGATGCCATCAGAGGGAGGGTGCCTCTCCATAACTGCTCCAAAGCTGGAGTTGGGTATCTTATGCTGTGAGGTGGGGTGTGAAGAACTTTTCACAATGAAAAAATGCTTAGCTTTTTAAAGTAAACAATGTTTTCTTTACAGGCCTTCTGGTTGCCCACCATTGATGACTGACTCTCATGTTGCTTGCCTAATTCTGAATAGTGAGGGTGGCCAGCAGGATAACCTCAGAGAGGACTGAGAGAATAGTGAGATTGGATCATTTGACTGGGCTGGAGAACATCTTTTCACATGGCCTTCTCCTGGATGTGCTGTACATCTGCGCAAAAGAAAAAAATTCCTTTGCCGAGCTTCTTCAAAAGGACTTGTGGTGCTGCAGATTCATTTGGGACTTGGCCTTTGCAGCTGGCACCCCACCCACCAAGCTCCTCCAGAGGAGTGACCAGACTTGTAATTAGGTTAGAGTGGAACGCTCAGTGCGCCTTCAATTTTGAATGTATTTGCTGCTGAGGAGCCAGTGAAGTTGTCAGTTCTGCACATACATTCTCCCACCCCTGTAAATGCATGGGAAACCGAAGTTCTGGTTTTTGAGATGCTAGGGAAATTCATTGCCCCTTGCCCTCTCCCTGCATGTCTTGTTACTAGGTCTCCCTGTGTACTTATGGCATTATTCCACAGTCATCATGTTTCTTAGGTGCCAAACATTTACAGAAAGAAGTCTTCATATACCTTGGGGTCAGATACTGTAGGACCTTGCTTGTAAGGAAGCCATGCATTTAACCCTAGGAGAATGGGTGGTCTGGGCAGGCCTCAGGCTCTGATGTTGGGTAGGAGAAGGCCCAGAAGTTTAGAAGAGGAGGGAAGTGGTTAACAGGCAAGTTCCTAGAGTTGGAAGGTTTACCAGCAGTCTGGTGTAGTCCCCCCATCAAAACAAACCCACAGTCATCCTGGGTGCCTACCAAGCTTGGTTTGTACAAAAGCAAGGTAGGAGTCTATTTTTGTACTTGAGACATATCACGCTTTCCTGTGGGCCAGTATTGTGGAGTGAGTGAGTTTACACTGATGCCTTCCTTTCCTGCCCATCACAAATTGTGTACATAGTCTCCAAATGACACTCCTTCCTCATGCCCCTCCTTTCCTCAGCTCCCCACCCAAGAGCTGGTTCTAGGCCTGTGTTATATGTTATATTTAGCCTTTTTATATAAGATCTTTGATTTGTTTGTACTCTAGCACAGCGTGTGCATCTCCATTTAAATATATTTGTGTATACATACATGCATATACCTATCCATCTGTAGTTTCTCAAAGTTCAGCCTAAGGAGAGAGTTCTGCAGCCCAGGAAAAAGACTACATCGTTGCTAATAGTGTTTGCCACAAGTGTTAGTCTTCCCTGTTACCTTTTTCCCTTTGGAAGACTAAATAAAACAAAGCTTCTAGTGTTTGCTGTTTCCATGGCAGCTAAGTGAGGGTCTTGGGATGACTCTCCTGTGTTCTTCAGGCTGCACTTTGGAGCCCTCTCTACAGTATTACTCTTTTTTTGCCTGGTGATGCTCTGTGCTTACATACGTGTGACAGTCATTTTTGCATGGCTTCTGTGCCTGGCTTGCAGCATTTGGGAACAGGATGCTGGAACCAAAGTGTTTTTTGTTTGAGGCTGCTCTGCAAATTACAAGTAATTCCCACCTAGCTGGCATGTCTGCTTTCTTGCTTTTTCTTGTCTCCTATTGAGAAGAAGGAGCTCTTGTCAGGCTCAGGTTGAGATGAAGTACAGACTGGCCATGGGCTTACTTCCCTTGCATAGCCATTGTGGGGGCAGAGCAAGTGGCATCTTGGTAAGCTCCCAACCAGACTTTTATGTAGGTAACACCCCCTGCAGATCCAGAAATCTGCCTAACAAGGTTATGGCTTGCCCAGAGGTTTACCGCAGCTGGGGTAAATCAAATCATCGCTGCTACTATTGAGCAGCAACCAAAAGTTATGAATAATTAATCCATTTTGTTTAAAGCAATTACTTCCTGACTTGTTACTTAAATTTTTCGAGCAAGGGTATATACCTTTCCCAAAAGTAGACAAAATCTGCAGCTGCCCCCATGCCACCCCCTATGTAGTTCTTCCTTCCCAGGAGCTTTAGAAATCAAATGATCTGAGCTGTTACTGCCACCTGTGCTTTTCAGGTTAGAAAATTCATGTTAGGACTAACTACAGAGAGTGCTTGACACCATGGGTTAACAAGAAAGGCCATGTCACTTACATAACTGTAATGACAGAATGACTTGCCCAGCAGCAGGAATAATTTGAGTTCCTGTGTCTAAAGCTAAAGCACCACGTCCTTTCAAAGTATGACACCACACAGCCTCTACTTCTGAGCCCTGTGGCACTACTGCTGGCTCCAGAGTTGCTGAGAAAAAGAAAGATGCAGCTGAACATGACCTCAGGCACTGCGATGGTGGAGACGGAGAGAAGCAAGAGTTCAGGCTGAGAGCCTGTGCTGCAGGGATGTCTCAGTGGCAGCCAGGGATGCTAAGCTCTCCTCGGTGGGGAGGAGCTGCTCATCACCTTCTGAAGACTCAAGGCCAAAGCCACTGCTTTATGTGAGACCATGATACTACATTGGTAAACCACCAGCCAGTAGGGTATCTTTTAATATTCCCTGTTGCAATCATAATTACTGCTTATTTTTAAAAATTTAGGCATTTATACAATCAGTTTGCTACCCAAATGCTACATAGCACTGTTAATCTTTTGGTGTTAAATGTTCCTCTAAACTTCTGTGTATAGATTTTTTTTTTGGTGTGTTTACATAGTTGTTATTCTACTGTACATACGATTTTATGTCCCTTTTGTACTTAACATAAACATCTTTTCCATGTTACCAGTCTTAAAGTTTTCTGGCTTCAGCTTCTTCCACTGAATTTCTGTAAGACTGCTTTACCTGGTTCCCAGGATGGGGAGAGATGGGTTGTCCTCTGTTCTGGCTCACAGGGGGCCTCTGTGATGCTGTGTGAATGGATTGTTAGGCCCTTGTTAACTAGGACCTATGGGCCCCAGACCCATTCCTCACCCTTGGGCTCCAGTGAACATCCATAGGGCCAGAAATTAATGAGTGGCAAAAGTTGGCTTGAGTCAGTCTTGATCTTCAAAGACTGCTTAGCACAAATCTCAGTCTATTTCCCCTGTTTACCTCAACACTTGATCAGTTTGGCAGCCCTTGTGGAATGAGTCATTCTGGTAGGTCCTGGCTTCTAGAGCAAAGATGGCTGGAGCCTTCAAGGCACCTGCACCAGGTCTGGCAGAAGGCTTAACGGTTTGCTTGTAACCCATCACCTGACTGGTGATTTGGCAATTCCTGGATCCTGGAGTAAATCTAGCTCAGCCTCCTCAAGAGCTGCAGGACCTGCCTCCTTTTGGTTCTTTGGCTGGCTGTGAACCAAAAAAGATGAAAACCTTGGGCTAGCTACATATAAGTCACATATGCCTGTAGCCCCAGCATTTGGGAGGCTGAGGCAGAACAAGTTCAAAGACAACCTGGACTACAGTGGGAAACGCCCATCTCTAAAAACACATTTTTATATGTGCTGCAGAAGTGAGCACATAAATAATGTATTTTTAAAGGAAAAAATCAGGCCTTCTACATTAGCCAGTTCAATCAGTTGGTAGAGAAGACATCCTGGCTTAGGTACGATTAGCCATCCATAGGTACTCCTGACTTCCAGCTACTGTACCAAGGAGGAAGACTCAGCAAAAGCTGCTGCAGCCGTTAGCCTTTGTTCATAGAATAGTGAGCAAGTAGACCAGTATGGCTGCCCTTGCAGCAGTCTGCCAGGTGGAGGAGATCTACAGCACCTACTCCCTGGGTTTTAGTCTTGTCCAGGGAGCAAGACCAGAAACAGGCACAAGGCTGGGGAAGAAGCAGCCAGCAGGCTGTGGGCACAGCTTGGCTCAGTGATGTGGTAATAGGCAGGGAACAGGATGTTGCCCCACTCCAGGAGGCAGGGAAGGGCTGTGCTGAGGAAGGAGGAAGTCACACTCCTTGTGGGCTTGTGTCTTGCACTCCAGCATTGGCTGGCTGCCTGACAATAGGTGGGAGTCCTAGGGAGCTGCTGGAGCTTCGGACCAGCCAGTTTGTCAAGGCTCAGCTGGGGCAGACCAGTTGGCTTGCAGGTCCAGGGCTCTTGAATACAGCTTTTGTGAAAATGGGAAATATTTGATGTTGCAGTTTTTCCTGTCTGCCCTGGACAGTGAAATCTAAAATGAACTAATGGATAGCAAACGGGGACCGACAGTCAGGTGAGACACAGCTTTTACATCAGCCATCTTGAATGACATCAGTCTGCAGTCTAGAATTGAGTTGCCTGATAAAAGTCACCTCTGTTATAAAACTAGGAGTGAATCAGGAGTCAGGCAAAGCTAGGCTTGTCTTGAAGATGGCTTGTCTTGTAATTCAACAAATATTTCTAGAGCTTCATAAGTTTTAGATGACAGAAGTCTTGTGGGGAAGATAAGAACTTAAGCTATTTATCCAACAGCAATCCTTAAGGTCCTAACTTGCCTCCAGCCAAGTCTAGTAGCTTTACATAAATTGGTATTCAAAATCAAGTGAAAATGCAGCCATTCTGCTATCGCAAGCACAGAGCTCACCAGTGGTAGTAACAGCCTCTTCAGTTTCCTGGCAAGAGAAGAGGTAGCTCTCAAGCCAAGAACTGGGCAGGACGCAATGCTAAGAAAACCTGTGGTCCTCATATGCAAGCTTGCAAGGTAGAGTTAAAACTAATTAACTGGAAGGTATTAGAAGGTGTCAGTGATCACGGACAAGCAGTCCACAATTCACAAGGGCTGATCTGCATATAAACATTTAATAATATGGAGATGATAGCAACAAAGGCATTGCTGGGGCATAGGATTAAGACAGGGCTGAAGCAGTCAGTGAGGAGCCCAGGCAGTAGAGTCCTGCCTGCTTGGCCAACTCTGGGACATCTTGCCCCTTTTTGCTGTGCCCTACCGTTAGCTTCAGAACCTGTGTCCTGCAGTAGTAAAGGACAGGAGGGCAAGGTGTGAGCTGGATCTGAGGAGCTGTCTTCAATATGGTTATTTCACAGGGCTCTCTGCCTGGACTGGAGGCTGAATGGATGCCCTGACGTCTGGAGATTGGACCCTGGATCCAGATAAGCAGCCTGTCCCTCATGGCATCTTTGGCTGATACCTTCAACCCCGGTGTCCCTATCTGACAATACTTGAGGTTACTGAGAATCTTGTCTGGGGGAGCCTTAAGAGTTTCCTAACCTGTAAAGTGCCTCTGCCAGGGCTCTATACAACTTTGTTGTACTGAGGATTGAACTCAGGACCTCGCACTTGCCAGGCAGGCCCTCTTGAAAACTTCTCAGCTCTGGCTGCCCAGTATTAACGTTTCCTTTGAAATGGATGGGTGGGGGTGGAAAGCGAGAAGAGCACTGAGCTGTGGCTAGTGATGGGGCAGCAAGGCCTGCTCCTGGTCATGCAGAGAAAGATGCCCAGACTGCACCAGCCCGGGAGTGGTTCTGGGTTATAATGTGAATCCTCAGGGTCCACTGCCTCCTTGGACTTGGCTGTGCAAGGGAATCACGAACACAGAGACATCATCATAGGACACTTGCCCTTCCCCTGTGGAACCGTCCTCCTTCCCCTGTGTGCTTCGAATCAGCATTTGGGCCAACTCTGAGAACCTGTGAAGAGTATCCCATAGGTGTACTTTGGGGCTAAGCAAAGTGTCCATCTATAAGCCAAGCAAGCCACAAAGCTGGTAGGGCTACAAAGAGACCACAGGAATCCAAATCCAAACCCAAGGATCTAAGGGAAGAACACACATTGTACTCCCTTCTCTTCCCCATGAGACAGCACTGACCAGCACTGACCCTGGCTACCTGCCCCGAGTTGGGCTCATTATCAGTGCTGGGTTCTCAGTTCTAACTACTTGGTGTTACTGGCTCCAATGTAGGCCTAGGCAAGTCCCCAGCAGCTACAGTACCTGTGTGGGTCATCTCGGTTCCCGGGGAGGAAGCTCCACACCAGCCGTGCCACCTGCTCATTGGAGAGGACATCCCAGAGCCCGTCTGTTGCCATGATGACCACATCATCTTCCTGCAGCTCTAGCTGGTCCATATCCAGCACAGTCACCTGAAAGTTAAGCCCAGCGATCCTTTGGCATACCTGCCTGGCTCCCATCAGGCTCAATCCCTTTCTGGGCTGATGGAAGCTGGGGCAGATTACCTTGCACCCTCACCTGTGGGACAGAGAGCAAGAAGGGCTTGAGCTGGATGTTGGTGTCCAGGACTCTGAGCTGATGGTCTCCTAAGCCCCGAGAGACGGCCAGTGTTCCCAGGAGTCGAGCCTGAGGCCGAGAAAAGTATGAGGCAATGGTGAACAGCTCTAGTAAATGCCCAAGCACTAGGCCCTGGCACTACTGGGCACATAAGGAGACATGAACCATGACCCTCAGGAGTCCCTGGCTGAGGGAGAAACATAAGGGACCAGACACCGAGACACTAGCTGCAGGCCCCAGTAAGAGACAAGGGAATCCCCCCTCCAAGGAACAACTAAAGAAGGGTTCTTGAAGGGGAGCCAGGACTGACCTGCCGACCCTGTCCGTGAATCAGTGGATATTTGAGATCTGACTTCTCCACGCGTTTGTAGCTCCTGACAGGAACAGCTCAAGCATTACCCAAGGCCTATACCCTACCGTATCTCTCAGCCCATGGCCCAGCTGTCATACCCTTATAGTGCCCACTCTGCCCAGATGGAAGGAGACTGCCCCAAGCTTCTCCCTTCCCACCATGCACCCCCAGCCTACCCTGCTCACCAGCCATTCATGTGGTGATCCCTGAACAAAACCTTCTGACCCAAGTCATCCCCCTTTAATCGCCGAGGGAACTCCAGTCGGGTGAACTCACCAGCCAGAAGCTCTGGGTAGACAAAGGCCTGGGGTGGGAAAGCTGTGCTCAGGTCAGGTTTCCTTCTGTGGCTACCTGTGGTCCTGGACCCAGGAGCTGGGGGCCACAGCCTCCCACTACCAAGGGAACCACCTACCAGCTGCTGAATCCGTTGCCGCTCAGTCTCTGGGGTGAACTCAGAGCTCAGTGGCCTTGTCTCATCTCTCCGTACCAAAAGAGCCCTGGTTGGGGTCGGAGAGTAGAGGAAGGTGTGAAACTACCTCCTCCCTCGCCTGTGGTCATGCTCCTGCCAGCCCTATCAGCTACTGAGCCAGCTCTGGCCACGCTGATCCCTCGCTCAAAGCCCTCCCTGATTCATTATGACCTGCAGGGTGAAGGCTCAGGCCTTTGGTCTGGCACTTGAGGTCCCTGCCCTCCCTGGCTTCTGTTCTCTGTCTTTACATTCAACATATGCCAAGTATAAATACTGTACAAACAGCTTAACCAATCTTCCCCATTTCTAAACCTCCACCTCCATCCTTCCATGGTCCCCACTGCTTCTGGTGCTCTCCTGCCCACCCACAAAAGCTCACTCACCTGCTGTCCCCAGCATTGGCTACATACAGCTTTCCCTGCAGGGACACAGCCACCAGCGCTGTGCAGCCGCCCACCTGACATGAGGCCTCCAGCTCCCGCCCAATCACCTCATCCTGGAACAAACCAAGGTAATCTTAGCTGCCATCAGTCCAGCCACCATACATACTACGGACCCCACCTTCCACCCTTCAGTTCACTTCCAACCAATAGGCCTGTAATCTCAGCCCACAGTCTAGTCATAACTCTCAAACCTCTGCGTCAGGAGACCTAGATAAGAGAAGTGTTACTCGAAACAGGAAAAGAAATCAGTTCCTGCAGTAAAAACCAAGTGGGTGCAATAAAAGATGCAGGTAAGAACACTTAGAATATAACAGACACTGAGTGTGTGGAGGGGTTAGCGATGACTGGCAGTTAGTAGTGAACAAACCCAAGCCGTCTTCCCAGTCAGCCCATCTGGGGTGACCACAGCTGTAGTGCCCCTTCCCTCAGGCCTCTGAGCCCAAACTTTCCCTACTTCCCCATAGGCCGCACTCACACACTCCTGGAAGGCACTTTCCAGAGCCCCAATCACCAAGTCTTCTGTCTTGATGCCCTTTTCCTCCACAAACTGCGGATCACTGAGGCAGACACAGTGGCCACTGAGGTGCATGGGGGGCCGAGTGGCCACAATGCCTTCTACCACGGCCTCCAGCTGCCGGCGCAGGCAGGAGTGCAAGGTGTTGGCAGCCAGGATGGCCGCAGCAGGACCACCATGCCCGTCAAACAGGGCCCAGTAATGACCTGTCAGGAACTGCACCAGAAGGGCTCTGTGTTAATCTCCACCTGGCTTCCTCAGCTGTCCCCAGGCCCAGCCTGAACTAGGATACTGGGCAGCCAGGCAAAAAAGCCTCAGTCTACATGCCTGGGCTCAGTCTGTCACAAGGCTGGGGCTGGATTGCACTCACCTCCTCTGCACACAGGGTCAGCCACTCTTGGTCCTCTTCAGCTCCAAAGTTGTATCTCCGTATGCACAACTTCCCGCAGGCAGCCTGATCTTCATTGAATTCAGACTTTTCTGCATTTATGATCCTGAGGCCAAGAAGTGATCAACCACTGTTCAGGGACACACCTATGTCCCTGCAGCTAGAGACCTCAGCTAGCAACAGCTCCCAGGTGCTATCCCTGTGGCGCCTGGAAGACCACCAGACCAGCACCTAGGCTTCCAAAGCTCTTTAGCTTAAAGGCTAAAGACTAAGGGCTGAGGAACAGGGTGGGCTGCCTGGACGGATCTGGGGCGCCTTCATCTCTCACTGTGAATCCCTGTTTCAAATTGCATAGGCCATAGCCCAGGGTGGTGTGTGAGCGTGCGTGCGTGCGTGCGTGCGTGCGTGCGTGCGTGTGTGTGTATCTTCGAAGTCCAGAGCGCTGGACTTCTAGTCTCCTGGCCTCATCTTGGAAACCCTTGGAGCACAGGTCCTTCCCCATCTCCAACTTCCCAAAGTTGGCGACTCAAAATGTCCGGGTGAGATGGCGGAGGCTGTCGCAGGTTGGGTCTTCAGGTGTGGGCTAGAAGGGGTCACCTATAGGTGGGGTGGGGGGGGCCTCTCTGCTTAGCGTGTTTCCTAGGCCAGCACCGAGCCCCAGCCGGCTCGGCGTGGCCGGGGCCAGGACCAGAGCCAGGGCCCGGGCCGGGACCCGGGACCCGGGACCCGGGACCCGGGCCGGGGAGGAGCACTCACTCAGCGTAGCCTGCGTTCCAGGGCAGCGTGCGGCCCCGCGCGGGGCTGCGCACGGGCCGGGAGTCCGGGCGGCGCGCGGCGTCGGCGGCGGGGCTGGAGCCGGAGCCGCGTAGGAAGCGTGGCCGCCGGTAGGGCACGGGGCTGGCGCGCGGCGCAGACGGGCGCGGGGCGGGGAGCGGACCCCCGGGCAGCAAACGGCGCCGCAACCAGCCGGCGGACATGGCGCGGCGGCAGAGCCCGGGGCTGCGCCAGACTCGCCCGCCCGCGGCCTGGAGCAGGAAGCGGGCCGGGGGCGGGGCCGGCCTGGCCGCGGCGTCGACGCCCCAACCCCAGCCTCCCGCCCCGGGCTGTGTGCGGCCTGTGCTCTCTCTCGGTCTGCTTAACCACCGCAAGAAGGGACTGCTGTGATCAGCCAGCTTGAAACGCGAGAAAACTGAGGCCAGAGAGGCGAAGTTGCTGGCCTGCGTGGCACAGCAACACTGAGGAGGGTCAGAGGCTCACCGCACCTGGCGGGCATTAACGTCCCTGTATGCGGGAGGCTCGGCTCCCTCAGAGACTGGGCAGCCTCCTCTGCTGGCCTTAGGCAAGGGGAGGATGGGGACAGGCTGTCCTGGACCTTGTCCGACTGGTGCATCGAGGCTCTGTATCAGAGCCCATGTGCCTTCTCCTCACCCGCCCAGTCTCCCTGGCTGGAGCTCAGTGGTCATCGTGACCTGCCCATCCTGAGATGGACAGCGACCCCAGGGACTCTTTATCTCTCAGATGGCTGTCCTGCCAAATAAGATGTCTTTGCTGGCGAGACAGCAGGCTTTTCACTGGAAGCGAGTGACTGACGGTCAAGAAAAACCTGTGGAGATGTAAAGGCGAGTCAATGGTCCCCAAAGGCTGCAGCTGGCCAAAGCTTAGACCTGGGACCGAAGAGTCAAAGATTTCCATCTGGGCTGAAGGCAAAATGTTGCTTTCACTTAACCCCTGGCTAGCTGTTAGGATGGAGCCAGCATCAGTGGCCTGCTGTACATCTGCATTTTAACTCATGGTCATCCATCTGTCACTTAAACCCAACCTTGCATAAGACTGCAGTTTCACTTTCATCATGGAGGACCCTGAGGCCCACAGATGCCCGGGGTGTGCTGTTCCCATTATGACAGTGTGGCTAAGACCTCCCCACCACGTTTGAATTCCTCTTCCCCTTTCTTCTCCAGGAAGCCTACTTGAAGTCCCTGAGGGCCCAAAAGCCTGAAATGGGTATACCCTGTAGTAGGAGGACTCCCTTCCTCTCCACTGTTAAGCTGAGACCTCTGTGCAACAAGCCTCACTTCCTCCAAGCAACCAGACTTGCTCCACTGGGGTCCCCTGCCCCAAGGAAGAAGGATCAGGAGAGGATGTAGTTTGGTGGCCCAGCACCTGCCTGGCAAGTGCGAGGTCATGAGTTTGATCCCTGGTACAAAAACAAAAACAAAAAAACAACCAAGGAGGGTCTTTGGGTAGATTGTTGTGCCTGGCACCCTTCCTTCAATGACTGAGTTTCACAGTGCCCTGGCATCTCACTGAACCTGTTGTGTGTGCCAGGCCCAGTGGGCACAGGAGCACACTGCTTGGTAGAGCAGAGCCAATCACCTGCCCACTGAGCCCCCTGTGATATAGCAAAAGCCTCAGCAGATAGTGCTTGGGACTACATCCAGTTGGAGGGACAGTCAGTCTCCCAAAAAACCCCAGAGCTCAGATCAGTCGCTGGGACAGAAAGGGCCCAGGGCCCAAGGTGAAGCAGGCCCAGTTCACCAAGTGGGGTCACTGTATCACAACCAGTGGATGGCTCAGGAGCCTTTAAAATGTGAAGCTAGAAAAAACAAACTGTCTTCCCAACCCACGGTCTTGGACTCATCCAGACACAGTTTGAGTGCTAAGACATTTTCACAGGATCTGTGGGCTGAAATCCAGCACTCTTCCCCCACCCCACCCTTGATACTGGCAATTATTGAAGCCAGGGCTTTAGCACTGAACTGTGTCCCCAGCCCTCCCCTTTTTTCACTTTTTATTCACTAAATTGCTCAGTCTGGGCTCAAACTTCTGATCTTTCTGCCTCAGCCTCCCAGACTACTAGGATTACAGGCACATGCCACCACACAGTTGCCCCCTCAATCTTTAGATTAACCTACATTTGTCTTTTCTCTTTCCAGAGCTTTCCAGGTTCTTCTCTCTATGGTATTTCGAGTTGCAGATGAGATGCTCTGGGGGTAGATTTTTCGTTTTTCTTTTTTTGGGGGTGGGGTGGGGTGGGGTGGGGTTTGCTTCATTCCTTTTTTTGAGACAGGGTCTTGCTCTAGTTCAGGCTGGATTTGAACTCACTAGGTAACCCAATCTGGACTTGAACTCCTGGCGACCCTCTGCTTCAGCCCCCCAAGTGCTAGGATTACAGGTATAAGCCACCATGCCCAGCTTTTATGCTTGAACTGAGCCCTCTCAGGTACTGTGTAGCTCCTAGCTCTCCAGTGACCAGGCCCAGTTCACTAAGTGGGGCCACTGCTCCAGTGACCCCTACACTGCCTCCTCCTGGCCAGTGATGGGAATGGAGGACGACTGAAAGCTAGGGAGGAGCAGGCCAAGAAAAAAGAGAAAGATTTTATTCTAGTTTTAAATTTACAATGAAACTGGCTTCAATTTAGCTACATATCTGTGCTCTAACAAGAGATTTTTGATTTGCTGTTAGATAGGGTCTGTGTAGTCAGGCTGGCCTCAAACTCACAGTGCCCTTCCATCTTAGCCTCCCAAGTGCTGCGATCACTGGTATGCACCACCACACACAGCTTGGGTTTACTTTTTTTAACTTAGTATTTTCACATGACTCAGAATTCAAAAGGTATAAGTATAGCTATGGGGCCGGGAATATAGCTCAATGGCACAAGTGTCTCTCTGGCAAGCACAAAGTCATGAGTTCAATCCCCCGTACCGAAAAAAAAAAAAGAATATAAAAGTGTATCCAGCAGCAAGCCTCCCTGCCACCCATTCCCTAGCTGGCCAGTTGCTCTTATTACAGACACGCAATTACTAATTTCTTAGGGCTCCTTCCAGAGATGTTAAGGTTATTCTGTACAAATTTTAAAATAAAACTGTGTAAAATCTTTTTTTTCCACATTAAACACATAATAATCTAGGCTGTATTTTGTTTTGGGGTTTTTTTGGTGCCAGGGATAGAACTTATGACCTTGTGCTTACTGGGCAAGCATTTGAGCCACTGCACTAAATCCCCAACCCCTTTGGCTATATTTTGCATCCAGATGTTTCACATAAGAGCCCTCTGAATGTATGAGTCTTTCATAAACAGCCTTGCTCTTTTGTTAGTTTCTCTACAAATGCATGGACTTCATACAGTTAGGCCCTAGTGATGGACATTTAGAATGTTTTCAATGTTTTGCTTTCCAGTTTTAGTATGTGTACATATTGGTAGGATCAGTTTCTCCTAAGAAACTATTGGGTCAGAAGCATCCAGTGTTCATAGCAGCACCATTCACAAGGGCCAGAATGTCAAAATCAACTGAGTTCCTCAGTAGATGAACACGTTGCCATACAGAAGAACGAAGTACCAATTTGTGCTAAACCATGGCTGAATTTTAAAAACAGTATGCTAAGAGAAAGCAGTCAGACACACAAGGGCACACTTGCTTACTTATCCTGAAGAATTAAATCCTTAGAAACAGGAAGTAGAGTGGTGGCTGCCAGGGCTTAATTGAGCAAGCACCACCTGGTCACTGTGTTCGCCCCACGACTCATGTGAAGTGCTGTACACAAGCAGCCTTCTCATCTTTCTGCCTGAAACCAGATCTCAGAGGAGGTGGAGTCTGCTTTGACACCGGATGGCCCTCAGGCTCCTTGCCCAAGTCCCAGATCTGAATGAAGCTGAGCCCAGGGCTCAAACCCCAGGACCCGAGGAAGATCCCCTTCTCTGTTTAAAACCTCTTCTGAGCAGTGAGCATGCATGAAGGAGACAAGGGGCTCCCAAGACTTCCTGCCTTTATTACAATATCTTGAGTAAACAAAATCGAAGTTGATGGGCACAATCATTACCATGTGACCAAATGCTTCACCTCTCCAAGCCTTGGACTCTCCCACTGTACGATGGAAACAGTGACATTCAGGGGCTATCAAGATGATTACATAAATGTTCCCAGCTTCTAAAAAGTCTGGGAGACAATCGAGGGATGGTGCCAAATGCCTGTAATCCTAGCACTTGGGAGGCTGAGGCCAGCCTGGGCTACATAGATCCTCACTCTAAAAAACAAAACCGAATAAGTATGTGACATAAAGACTTGTACCAGGTATCAGGCAGGTCACACACTCCATCACCATGTCTCAGAAATCCCAGACCCAAAAGGCAGCTGCCTTTCCAATCTTCCCATCCAAAGTCCCTGAGCAGGGACTGATGGGACTCCTGAGGTTTACAGAGCCTGAAGACAGGACAGGCTGACTAGCTGGTAGCAGCATGCAGTGCTAACGCCAGGAAGATAAGGTTGCTAGGTTTGGAGAGAAATTAAGAGCTGGAGAGTTCCTCAGACTCACAAAATTCTGGCCTTCCTTCAATCTCTAGGCCTTTACACATGCAATTCCCTCGTTGCAGAACTTTCCCCTCTGCTCTGCTCTGCTCTGCTCTGTCTCGCTGAAATTTCACTTCCTGCAAACGGCCGTTCATATTGTCTGGATTGAGATACTGTTCCTCTGCTGGCTGCCTAACAGGGTAGTCTCATCTCCCACCCTCACTCCCACCCCGATATGCCCAGATCCCCGCAAATGGAGCTCTGGAAACGCCCCTTGAGGAACGGTCCCCGCACAAGCACTGACGCCCACCATCACCCAAAACCCCTTCCAGTTCCGCACTGAAGTTAAACGCAGATCTGCCCCTGCGCGCAAACCCAGCAGGCCGGGGGTGCACAGTCTCAAGCCTGCCGCACCCACAGACCACCCGAATTCAGGTGTGTTGACGCCCACGCAGTGAGCCCCAGCCCCGCCAGCTGCACATAGGACTCTTCTCCAGCTGCGGAGCGTACGGGACAGAAAAGCAAGCCACAAAAATCCGGCCGACCAGGAGCACATGGCGCACGCGCCGGTACAGCCCCGCCCCTCCCCACCGTGCCCATCGGGGGCGGGGCGCCGCTGGGGGCGGGTCCTGCGGCACCGCCCGGGAAGCTGCGCGAGGTTCACCGGCCTCCACCACATCCTCCTCCTACGGGTCCAGCGAGTGTATCCCGGCCAGGGCCGATTGGCGGCTCTGACGGCGAGGGCGAGCCATGGCGCACCAGACGGGCATCCACGGTGAGGGAGGATGGCGGGCGGGCAGGGGACCCAGGGCTCGGCTCTCGGTGGGGCCCCCTACCCGGCTCTCGGCCCCTTCCTCCTCCTCGCATCAGCTGGGAGAAAGCTTCCTGTTCTCTGCAGCCGCCAGTCTTTGCAGATATGGGGTGGGCACATCTCGGGGAGTGGCGTGTATAGTGAGGAGTGGGTGCATATGTTCGTGCACAGCTGGTGTGGAGGTAGGTATTGGTGTACCCGTCCGGGGGTGGATGCGCCTGTAGGTGCCCCTCTCGTGTACTGTCGTTTCCTTCCGGAGGTGGGCATACCCGGATGCGCACATCTGGGAGAGTGTACACGCATGTGCACATCTGGATGTGACTTGCCTGTACATCTAGGATCATTTATGTATGTAAGCCAGTGGCTGTTTGGACCTGTAGGTGGCATGGGACGATCTTAGACATCATTGTGTGGTGGTGCGCACATGTCTGTGGGTGTCTCTGTGTGTGCACAGCTGGGGCGCCTCTTAGCGTGCATTTGTTACCATGGATGCATGCATGGCCAATGCCTTACAATTTGTATGGGCTTGTGTATGTGTGAGTATGGGCTTGTGTATGTGTGAGGAGAGGATCGGGACCTTTGCTCTTCTAAGGACTCACACTTCTGGAGACCAGCTGGGGGTTGGGGAGAACCGGGGATAGGGCCCTCTAAGGTGCACAGGGAAAGTTACCAACCTGACCTTGACCTCTGACCTCCCTCCCATTTTCCACTGTGATCTCCTGAGTATGCCACAGCCAGGGTTGGAAAGTCCTAGCTCCAGTCTTGAAGCAGGAAAGAGGGTCCAGATCAGGGCTTAGTTGGGGAGGACCCTAGAGAATCCGGGCCAGCTCCCACTCCCCACCCTGGTCCCCAGGAAGCTCCTGTGTCCCAGTGCATCATACACAACCCCCCTCCCTGGGACTCCAGCCCGGCAGGCTGAGAGAAAAGCAATGGCTGCAGGCCAGGCATGCTGTCCCTCCTCAGATCTCAGTGTCTGTCACTGGCCTGGGAGGCCCACCCAGCCTAGGAAAGGCCAGGCCTATTGCTTACACAGCCTAGTGGTTTTGCCATCAGCTGCTCTGTCACCACAACCCTGCCCAAGGCTGTCACCATCGACCTGCCTGACCGCCTAGATCCCTGGATCCCAGCCTGTGGTTGTGGCCACTTAGTGGCTACACTGCCCAGAGGGTTTCCCTGGCCCCACCCCTGCTCCCATCTCCACAGTGCAATTCGGGACCCAGGGAAGGAGTTGGAGGATGGGCTTTCTCCTTTAGCCCACAGGACCGAGGTCTGCCCCTTCCTTCCCCTTTGGTCACAGCTGCTGGCCGCCTCTAGCTGGGAGGAGTTCCTGGGGAAGAAACAGCACCACTATTCCCTGCTGGCAGGCCTGGCTGGGGGACACTAGGGACTGGGCTGACCCCGAAGCCTTCCTTCTCTGCCTGCACTCAAGCCCACCTTCCTGTTTCAGGCCTGGTGAGGTGGATAGCCTTGGAGCATCACAGACCAGCCTTGTCCTGGCCATAGGTGTGGGGACACTGACCTAAGAGCGGGATGGGGAGGGACCGTAACTGTAACCTGAGGCTCACTGGACTTGGGAGGGTAGGCCAGCTGGTCATGAATCTTTGATGACTGAGGCTCAGGTATCCCAGGCCTGGCCTCTGGATTATTGATGGTGATTGGGGAGGCGGTGGGGTAGGCTGGGAAGTCTCTTCTCCTGCTTGGGTGTCAGTTTGCTCTGGGAACACTAGAAGGGGCTCATCAGCCTCTCCCTCTGGGGAGCTTCCTGGTCCCTCCCCAAGGCCTGATCAGGTAGAAAAGGCACTGAGCGCAGCACGCCCTCCACCACATCAAGTTACTCAAGGCTCGTTCCTGAGCACTGTGTCCCTCTCCTTCCGACCACAGCTAGGGGAGAAGTGGACCTGCTGGGGGTCTGCCAAGGTGAAGTTCTGTCCTGACCCAGAGGGGCTGTGTCCTATTGTGTGACTGGCTCGGCTCACTTGGGCCCCTGCACTGGCCAGTGGCCTTGGAGGGTAGAGCACAGCCTGAGGACTGTGACTCAGGGTCACTGTGGGGGGCACTTGAGGACATGTTTTTTCCCAGAGCCCCTCCTTGCACTGACCCATCCAAGCCCTATAAATACTCCCTGACCTCAGCCCTCCAGCTGTGTTCCTGCCGGGATTCTCCTGACCCCTGGACAGCCTCAAGGTCAGGTTGGCCTGGCCCCGCTCACTCAGAGACCCAAGTAGGCCCCTTACTGCAGTTTCCCTGTCTGTCACCACCAGCAAATCTGAGACCATCTATGGCTCCCTAGCTCTAGCTGTCATCTTCACCTCAGACAGAAGTCCCTGGTCACTGGCTGTCACCATCCAGCTGTGAAGCCCAAAGTCCAAGGTGGAGTCTTTTTCCTCCCATGGCTCCTCCTGGAAACCTCTCTGGTGCCTGAGGGCTGAAGGCATGTTACAGGGCAGTGCTGAGGACAGTACCCCAGGGCCTCAGGGTGCAGAACCAAGTTGGGACCGAGGCTGTGTATCATGCGGGTCTGTTTCTGTGTACCATTTGGGTGTCCACTGGCCTGGAGAGATGTCCTGGAAAACCCTTCAGCTGCCTGCTGGTGTGTGTGTTAGCAAGCCAGGGATGAATCTGTATATGTTTGCCTGTCTAAACATGTGTATCTGCTTATGTTTCATCAGTTGAGTGTGTGTTCTAGCATGAGATGTTTGTACATGTGCACCTCTCTCTTGCACATGTTTTAGATCCACACATGCAGGCTTTAGCATGCATTGTCACATGCATTGTACAAGTGTGTGAATGGACATAGTGGTCAGTGCACGACACTTGTCTTTTTTCCTTTGTAAACCTGACAGTGCTAGGCGTGTCTCAGGCTAGTGCGCTGCCTGGTCTTCATGGGGCAGGGGACAGATGGGGCCATTCACTTTCATAGCCTAGTTTGTCCAGGAGCAGCCTGGCCTGTCTTCCGGTGGGCTGTGCCATTCCTGCTTGCCCCTCCCTGTCACCAGAGCTGTCCCAGCTAGCAGGCCACCCGCTTCCACTTCTGCTGGCTAAATTTGGGAGCCTGTGTTTAGTGGCCATCTCAGGTTCCCAGTCACATGGGGGAGTGCATTTAATCCTGTTCCCAGCACAGCCACCAGACCCACGGGACAGAGCGGGCCCCAGACTCATCCCTTCTACTCTGCCTACTCACTGCTTACCATGTTTCTTGTTCTTATAGCCACAGAGGAGCTGAAGGAATTCTTTGCCAAGGCGCGGGCTGGCTCTGTGCGGCTCATCAAAGTCGTCATCGAGGACGGTGAGTGCCCCGCCACTGGGGCACAGGTTGAGGCTGGGCCCGGCTGCTTCTGGAACGGGGAGAGGTGTTAAGTTTGGGCTCAGGACCTTGGTTTCTTCAAATGGGAGTGGTCGTGAGGCCACTCAATGGAGGACCCTCGGGGAGAGCTGGCAGTTGCCGCCTCTCCGCACAGAGCCCTATCCTGGGGCCTGCCCTGCCCGCCTCTCCACCGGCTCTGAGGTGAACCATGATGGGCCCAGTCAGGGCACTAAGCTGGGGGACAGGGTAAGAGGATAAGGGAGTCCAGGCATTGCCACACAGGCTAGTGTCACCCACTTCCCCTCCATTTATGGTTGGCAGCCTGGCCTAGCCTAGCCATGGGGAGACCCTTCCCTTAGGAGATCCTGTGATAGGGAAAAGGAACTCATCTCCAGGTAATTCTGTGAGCAGCATGGGGGTTCCCACTTGGTGGAGCCTAGGCCTGAACCCTGGGGTCTGGGATTGTATAGGGTGGTGCCGGGGTCCAGGGGCTTCAGCTGAGGTCTGAAGTGGGGAAAGTTCAGGGAGGCTGAGTTCTGGGTGAAGAGCTTGGGAGGAAAGGGCTCCTCCCCATTTCCTATGTGGCCAAGGGACTGCCCCTGACAGTGAAGGCTGTGGACTCAGGGCCTAGGCTTGGTTGACCCCCCCAGGAATCCAGCTCTTCTCAGTAGCCATGCTATGGTGGGTCCTTTAGGGGCCGCCCCTCACAGGCTTGGTGCCCAGCTCACCTTAGCAGGGGCTGCCTAGATTTAAAGCTTACCTCAAGCTTTAAAACCATGGCTGTGTTGGGCTTTGTCTAGATTCAGATGCCTTCCTAGCTCGGTAGGGGTCCCTGACGTAGGTCATGAGTGCAGCCTCTGCCCCAGTCCTCAGTCCTTCCCCATCCCCCACACAAGGTGTATGCGTTTTGTTTGTTTGCTTGTTTGTTTATTTGTTTGAGACAAGGCATCCTTATGTAGCTCAGGCCGGCCTTGAACTCACTATGTGACCCTAATTTTCCTCAGCTTTCTGGGTGCTGGGATTACAGGTGTGTGCCAGCAAGCCTGGCAAGATGTAAGACTGTAGAGCAGGAGGAACCTGAGGGGGACTCTTAGCAGTTGTGCATTGTAATTGTTGGGGTACCTGGGAGTGTTCAACGTGTGACAAAAGCTCCTAAAGTTTCCAGAGAAGCCGAGAATTCCACTTTTTTTTTTTTTTTTTTTTTTTTTTTTTGTCTTTTTTCCTTTTTATCGGTACCGGGGATCGAACTCACGACTGCCTGCTTTACAAGGCAGGTGCTTATGCTGCTGAGCTAAATCCCCAGCCCCGAGAATTCCACTTTTGTTTTTTGTTTTTGTTTAATTTGGTTTGGTTTGTGTTTTTGTTCTGAGACAGTCTCTTTTCAGGCTGACCTTGAACTCAGTGTGTAGGTAGCCTAGACTGGCCTCAAATTTGAAGCAATCCTCCTGCCTCAGCCTCCCAAGTGGTAGGATTATAGGCATGGGCCACTGCACGCAACCTGGTTTGCTGAGACAGTCTTTTTTTTTTTTTTTTTTTTTTTGATGCTGGGCATTGAACTCACAACCTTGTGCTTGCCAGGCAGGCACTTATGCTTGCTGAGCTAAATCCCAGACCCTGAGTCAGAGTCTTGCAGTGTATTCCAGACTGGCCTCAAATGAATGATCCTCCTAAAGCTTCCTGGTTGTCAGGATTGCAGGTGTGTGCCACTACACCTGGCTGAATTTTACTTCTTATATAAAATCCCTGGTTTAAAAATATAAACAACAGGGGCTGGGGATTTAGCTCAGCGGCATAAGCACTTGCCTTGCAAGCAGGCAGTCGTGAGTTCTATCCCCGGTACCGTTAAAAAGTTAAAAAAAAAAAAAAAAAAAAATATATATATATATATATATATATTATATATATATATATATATATATAAAAACAACAAATGAAACACCACTGACAATGCTTTGGGGGCCCACCCACCTTGTGACTGCTGGTGTGTAGCCCTGATTCCCTGTGAATTCCAGGATGGCAGTGAGGAGCCATGCCTGCAGAAGCCTGGGACTCCAGGCAGCTGGACTCCTGACCCAGCTGGTGAGGTGTTGGGCCCCCTGGCCAGGCTGATTGTCCCTTTGCCCAGTGCTCCCTCCAGCCTAGGCCTTTGCCCAGCCGGGGTCCCAGCCCAGATTCGCCTGATCCCCCTCGAGCCACTTGGCACAAGCTGGGGGGTGAAAGACTGGGCCCAGGTGTTTAAGTTGGCCGCCGTTGGTTTGTGACTTTGGGAGAACAGAATGTGGAGGTGGTGTGGTAGCAGGACACTACTTTCCTGGATGTGCTTTCTCATGCTTTCTCGTGGCTCAGGCCTTGAGGGGCCTCTGGATCCTACTAAGCCTGAGCTGAAGGACAGGGGAGAGGACGCCACATAGGACTGCTCTGAGCAGCTGCATCTGTCCATGGGGTCAGAGTGGCACCTAGCTGTGTGGTCACACCAGGTCCTGCGTGTCTTCACAGGCTGGGATGGAAGACAGGACGCACAGCGAAGCTGCCTTGCCCTGATTCGCTTGTAAGGGGTTGGGGGGACCCAGGGACAGTGGGGTGGGCAGCCAGCAGGTCTGAGCTGGCCCTGGAGCCACAGACAGAGGTGGAGGAAGGAAACAGCTCCTCCGGCTCACCCGGCCTCTGCCCCCAGAGCAGCTCGTGCTGGGTGCCTCACAGGCACCCATGGGCCGCTGGGACCAGGACTACGACAGGGCTGTGCTGCCGCTGCTGGATCCCCAGCAGCCCTGCTACGTGCTCTTCCGCCTCGACTCGCAGAACGCTCAGGGCTTCGAGTGGCTCTTCCTCGCCTGGTCACCTGATAATTCCCCTGTGAGTCCTAGGGACCCCTGCCAGCCTCAGGCACAGGGCCATGGAGGTGTGGGGAGGGGAGCTGAGATGTGTAGGGAACAAGAGCCTGCCTAGGAAGAGAGTCTGACTGGTGGGGGAGCTTGGGTTCTCTTAGAAGGCAGGGATGTGATGTGAAGTGTGCGAGGGCTCTCCTGCTGGCGGTGCCGCGCTACTGCAGTGTCGACTCGTGCTGCGCCCTCTGCTGGCTGCGTAAGCACAATGTGGTTACTGGGCCTTTGGGGCGCCTTCATGCTTCTGCAGAGGCAGCCCCAGTTGGTGGGGGGGGCCTCACGGTTTGGCACCCTTCACTCCACCCCGTCAGGTGCGGCTGAAGATGCTCTATGCAGCCACACGGGCCACAGTGAAGAAGGAGTTTGGGGGCGGCCACATCAAGGATGAGCTCTTTGGCACAGTAAAGGTAGGTAAAGGTGACCGTCCAGACCTTATGCAACATGGGGCCAGGAAACTAGAACCACAGAAGGCGGGGCCTTGTGCAGGCCACAGACCACCAGTGCCAGGCTCAGTGGAATGGGAGGGCTAGGAACTAGGGCTGCAAGCCAAGGTGCCCATATATGCCTTGGGTTCTGCCCCCCAGGACGACCTCTCCTTTGCTGGGTACCAGAAACACCTGTCATCTTGTGCTGCCCCTGCCCCTCTGACTTCAGCTGAGAGAGAGCTCCAGCAGATCCGTATCAATGAGGTGGGTGTGCCATGAACCCATGCTCCTTGGTGGCTGTGCCCTGGCCAGGCAGGTGCAGCCTCCCTCACCGTTGACCCGCCCCCAGGTGAAAACGGAAATCAGCGTGGAAAGCAAGCACCAAACGCTGCAAGGCCTCACTTTCCCCCTGCAGCCTGAGGCCCAGCGGGCACTTCAGCAGCTCAAGCAGAAGACCATCAACTACATCCAGCTGGTAGGTGCTCAGTCCTTCTCTGGCACCCTCATTGACACATTGCTCTACCACTTCTCCTGCTCTCCATATGCCCGTGGGCATAGAACCCTGCTTCCCCAGCCCAGCTGCTCAGCTAATCTGTGGACTTGGAGAGCACGCTGTCCTCCTGATTCCTCTGTGCCTGTGTTGGGTGTGTAAATGTGCCTGCTGTCTTGTCCCCAGCCCTCCCCACATAGGCACTCTTGTGCATACTGTCCTGTTCCTCACCCCTTGGGTTCACACTGGACCCTTAGCTCTGAGCCCCTTCCTGTCCCAGCCTCCCTGTGCAGCCCCTGCCTTGGCCACATCCCCTCTCTTCCAGGCAGGGTCCTTCTGCACTGGTGGTCCACGAGGCCCATTCCAAGCAGAATGGCTCTTCCCTTCTGAGGCACCTCCCCCAAGAGGCTTCAGTGCCAAGGAGGAGCTGGCCCAGTGGCAGTGCCTCCTTGGGATCAGGACCCTTCACACCACCCCATCCACTGCCCTTGGTAGGCGTCTCTCCTCCAGCAGAGCCTGCAAAGGGGCAGCACAAGGCAGGCCCAGGCACTTCATGAGAGGGATGTGGATCCTACAGAGCAGAGGCAGGGAGGAGACTTCTGCCTGCCAGCCAGTCCTACATTGGGGGTTGCTGTCAGGAAGAAGGGTGCCCTCATGTCTGCCCCTGCCCCTCCACAGAAGCTGGACCTGGAGCGGGAGACCATCGAGCTGGTACATACAGAGCCCACAGAAGTGGCCCAGCTGCCCTCCCGAGTTCCCCGAGATGCCGCCCGCTACCACTTCTTCCTCTACAAGCACACCCATGAGGGTGACTCCCTTGAGTCTGTGGGTGAGTGGCCACTGCAGGGCCTTGTTCTCTGCTGGCCGGGAGCAGCCCAAGTCTGATGTTAGATGGGTCTCCTGGTTCCCCTCTGCACAACTCACCGCACCCCCACTCCACTCCCCACAGTGTTCATCTACTCCATGCCAGGCTACAAGTGTAGCATCAAGGAGCGTATGCTGTATTCCAGCTGCAAGAGCCGCCTTCTTGACTCTGTAGAGCAGGACTTCCAGCTGGAGATCTCCAAGAAGGTGGGTACCCATCCCCAGAGCCCAGCACCCCAGCCTCCCCATGGGGCATTGGAGTCCTGTGTGATGGCAGAGCAAGACTCCTTGATTCTCTGATGCCCTGTTGGACCCAAGGCTTCCCAGCCAACAGGTAGCACAGACAAGCCCAAGCTTTGCTGCCCTGTCTCCTTTCCCTGGGTCTAGGGGGCAGGGAAGGGGTGACTCAAGATGAGAGCAGCAGGCCCCAGGCTCTGTGTTGCTGAGGGTAGCATTTCAGGTGGGGTTCTGAACGCCCCTAGAGAATCTGGGTGAGAGATCAAAGAGGTGGCCCAGAGATAGAAGTTACCAAGGATAGGGTATGATGGGGCCCTTCACCACTGAGGTGACCACCGCTTCACCCTGCGCAGATTGAGATTGGCGATGGGGCAGAGCTGACGGCTGAGTTCCTCTATGATGAGGTCCACCCCAAGCAACATGCCTTCAAGCAGGCCTTCGCCAAGCCCAAGGGCCCTGGGGGGAAGCGAGGCCACAAGCGCCTCATCCGGGGCCCTGGTGAGAATGGAGATGACAGCTAGGCGACAGACAAAGGCAGGCTGGCGTGTGGACTGTGGCTGCCTGCCTCGGCTCCCTGTACCTCCCTCCTTCCCAGCCTGGGCTCCAGGGAGGTGCTGACTGCAGGGCGGGAGGGCTGATAGCTGAACACTTGCAGCTTCCAGGGGCCCCTGGGCCATCATTTTGTGACCCTTCCCTGTTGCTGTCCCTGCTTCTCATGTGTGCCCAGGGCCCTCCCTGGCTGGGTCAAGGTGCCTGGATCCAGAGCTTGGCATAAATCTAGCTTTCTGGGGACCTGAGACTGGGGTCCCAGAACAGCCCAGAAACCCCTGCCACAGTGGGTGGGGTGTACTGGGCTGTGGCAGGGGTCGCTGCAGGACAGGATGGTTGAATGCTGTATTTTCTAAAGAATAAAATATTTTTAAATCAGTCCTTGAGTCTGGCCCCAGGGGACCGCCTCTGGCCTGGGGATTGGGTGCTCTCTGGCTCAGAAGCAGACTCTTGGCCTGTGTGTTTAGCCACAGAGTGTGGGAGAAATGGTTTCCATGTGTGAGGGTAAGAGGCCCGCACACCTTTAGCATTACTTGGGGTTTGAGTGTCTTGTTCCCTGTGGCTGCTATTACAGATGACCATAAACAGCGACTTTACAAAACAAGTTCATGGGCCTGGGGATTTAGCTCAGTAGCATAAGTGCCTGCCTGGCAAGTGTGAGGTCATGAGTTTGATCCTTGGTACCAAAAATAAGTCATTCCTCTGAAAATACAAGTTCATTCAAGACCAGCTTAGGCAATATGAAGTCCTGTCTCAAACAAGAAAAGCCACTTAAATTTACCACAGTTTAGTTCTGGAAGCCAGAAATAGGAAACAGTCTATCTGTTGGCAGAGCTGGCTCCTAGAGTCCTCATGAAAATCCCTTTTCTTGGTTTTTCCACTTCTAGAGGTTGCTTGTATTCCTTGGCTTGTAGCCTCTTCCTCCATCTTCCAAGTTAGAAACATTTTGTCTAATTCTCTGCTGCCAGGGTCATGGCTCCCATCCCTTCTTCTGAAGTCACATCTCTCTCTCTCTCTCTTTTTTTTTTTTTTTTTTTGTCTTTTTCCTTTTTACCGGTACCAGGGATCGAACTCACGACTGCCTGCTTGCAAGGCAGGCACTTATGCCGCTGAGCTAAATCCCCAGCCTCACATCTCTCTCTCTCTCTGTGCCCACCACTCCCTTGCCAGTGATCCAACATAACCTTATATTGAAAGCCTTACTTTAGATATTAGCCACAAATTTCTTTTTACCATGTAAGGAAACACATAATCTATAATCTCAACACTCTGGAGGCTGGGACAGGAGGATTGCAAGATTAAGCCAAACCTGAGCAATTTAGGCTGGGAACGTAGCTGGTTTAATCCCAAATACCACAAAGAAGAGAAGAGAAGGAGAAAAAAAAGACAAGTTTGGAGGACTAGTACACGGGTCTCTAAGGGGGCATTGTTCAGCCCACTACCCTGGATGAGGGTCTTGGCTGGGTTTCCAGACCCTGTGGGGCAGAGGACATCTGTCTTGGTGCCTCCAGTCCATGTGTGCCCATGAGCATGTGTCGTGCATGTGTCTGGTGCTCACGTACACCTCTGTGTGTTTTGCACACCTCTGTCAGTGCCTCAGCCCTTTTCCAGACCTGCTTTCCTGCCCTTGAGGGAGGCAGGATGGCACTGGAGGTGCTGAGAGATTGTGGAGAAGTCTGTGCCAGGTTTGGGGTTTGGCAGGTGCCAGGGCTTCTGTCTACACCTCTGAGAAGTGAGTGGAGGCGCGTCCCAGATGGTCCCCATGTGATTGGTGACTCCCACCCAGCTGCTGAGTGAGGCACTGGCCTTTCTCCTAGCTCAGGCAATGTGCCATCCCTGGGGCTGCCCTCAGGCCCTACTGCGGTCCCTGGGCTTGTCGGGAGAGCTGGGACCCTGGCCTGGACCTAGAGGAAGCCCAACCTTCCCCAGTTCAGACGCCAGCTCTCAGCGGGCAGCTGCCAAGCCAGCTGGACAACTGGCACCTGGGAACTGCCTGCTTTGACACCCAACCAGAAGTGTGCCAGGGTGCAGCAGGGAGGCCAATGTAGCTCCGCCTGCTGCCTGTGGGAGCCCCATTTGTTCATTCACTCGTTCAACTTCCACTTGGATACCCTCTTGGTGCCTGCCTAGAGCTGCGTGCCAGAGACCCATGGCTTCAGCAAATAATCAGCGCCTCTGTCGTGGGCGCTGTACTGCATTCCAGGAACACAGACAAGACATGTGGCTCCCAAGAAATTGACATCCAGCAGAAGAATAAGACAACGTGCAGTGACTGGAAAGAGTCAGCAGTACGGTGTAACTGATTGAAGGACATATAAAGCAAGATACAAGGGCAAAGGGGCTTGGGAGAGTCAGGTCTGGGTGGACTTTCTGGAAGGGTCAGGGAAGCCCTGGTGGAGAGGGTGATGCGCAGACACGGAAGGGGAATCCAGGCAGAGGGGCGATCAGGCTCAAAAACCTGAGGCAGGAGGAGCCCCAGTGTGGTCCTGCAACAGGCGGGCCAGCATGACTGCAGCCCAAATTGTGTAGAAATTTGGCCACTATGTTGACTTCCACTATGACCCAGGGAGGGATTTAGGCAGAGGAGGGACGAGCCTGAACAGTCCCTCCAAGGCTAGATGTGAAGAAGCTGTAGCTGGAGGGGAGCAGGGCAGCCAGGCTGCTGAGCCAGGTGGTGGAGTAGAAGGGGCAGGCAGGGGACAGACTCCAGGGCAGCCACAAGACCTGAGGCTGGGCTCTGGGGCACCCTGAGACTTGGGACCAGGAGCTCGGGAAAAGCTGTGTGGGAAGGAGCAGCCTCGGGAGCCCTGGCAGGACCACGGCTCTAGGTTCCTAGTGGTGTCAGGAACTGGGAACAAGGGAAGAGGCCCCACTCCTAAGGTTGAGTCATGCTGCCTGCCAGCCACCTGCTGACCTTGAGGCCACACACAGCTCTGCAATGGAGGTTTGAGAGGGGGCAGGAAAGGAAGAGTGGGAGAGTCACCATCCCAAGAGCAGTTGGGGCCTAAGGGTGAGGCAGCCCTCTTGGGATAGGGAGGGGCTGGCATGGTGTTGGTGCCACCGGACCAGGTCTGCACAGTGTGAACAGTGGAGCATGCCCGGATGCTCACAGACAGCTGTGGCCTGTGCTCAACGCTCCTAGAGAATAGATATGAGGCCCACTGGGGACCTTGCTATCTTGGGGAGAGTGGAAAGAGGAAGGGGTGATGGGGCTGTCTGTCATCTGACTCACTGCACACCACCTGCCCTCCCCGGGTGGGTGAGGAGAAGGCAGCTGGGCTAGCAGGGAACTCTCACTTCCTCTCCTCTCGGAGAGGACGGACTTGCCTGCAGCATCCTCCCCTGCAGCCATTGCCCAGTCTACTAGCGAGACACTCGGGAGAAGCCCCCACATCCTGACATGGTAGGACAGCAGCCCTCAGGCCCCTGGAAAAGGGACAGCTCAGGAAGGGCTGAGGAGGGGGTGGGCCTAGCAACTGCAGGCAGTGGAAAGAAACTGTCACCCCATGGCCCTGGGGACACCCACTGAAACCTGAAGACATCAGAGGAGACAGGTCAGAGCTGCTGGTGGCTGCGAGGGCTGAGAGACCCCTGACCTTGGTGATGACATGAGGCTGTGGGCTGGGCTTTGTCGGTTTTGACCCAAGAAAGCTGGGAGAGTGAGAAAGGCAAAGAAGGAAGGAAATGGGCTATGTCCACCCTAGCCAGGGGCCTAGGTGGAAGTCAGCCTGGACCACAGCAGGAGACTCATCCCTGTTGGGGTCTCAGTTAAAGGCAGGGGGATTTCAGGGTGACTGGAGGGAAAGGAGCCAGTCATTGCTTTGTTTGGAAGGAGAAGGGTTAATGGCCCCGAAGGAGAGGAAGGGAAAGCGGGTTAGAATGGCTTTGGTTCTGTGTGAAATCAGCTCTGATTGCAGGCTCAGTCCTGGGGTAGGAGACGAAATTGAGGTTCCTCATGGCCCTGAGAGGATGGAGAGGGGGTTTGGCAGCTAGAAGCGCAGCAGTAGGGTGGGCTTGTGGAGGGAGGTGTGGAGGGCTGGTGTATACCCCCAAAGGGGAACTTGTAGGGGTGGAGCCAAGGCTGGACACTCACACAGCGTTGCTCCCACAGGGCTCCTGCTGCAGGGGCCTACACCCCCTGTCCGTCCTGGTGCAGGCTGTGGTGCTGGCTGAGGCCCTGGCCCTAGGCACGCTGCCTGATTTCCTGCCCTGCGAGCTCAAGCCCCATGGTGTGGTGAACTGCAACTGGCTGTTCCTGAAGTCCGTACCCCGCTTCTCTGCAGCAGCGCCCCACAGCAACATCACCAGCCTTTCCCTGCTCTCCAACCGCATCCACCACCTCCACAACTCTGACTTCATCCACCTGCCCAACCTGCGGCATCTCAACCTCAAGTGGAACTGCCCTCCCACCGGCCTCAGCCCCATGCACTTCCCCTGCCACATGACCATCGAACCCAAGACCTTCCTGGCCATGCCCACCCTGGAGGACCTGAACCTGAGCTACAATGGCATCACCACTGTGCCTGCCCTGCCCAGCTCCCTCGTGAACCTGACCCTGAGCCACACGAACATCCTAGTGCTGGATTCCACTAGCCTCGCAGGCCTGCGTGCCCTGCGTGTCCTCTTCATGGATGGCAACTGCTACTACAAGAACCCATGCACTCAGGCAGTGGAGGTGGCCCCTGGTGCCCTCCTGGGGCTGAGCAACCTCACCCACCTGTCACTCAAGTATAACAATCTTACGGCAGTCCCCCGAGGCCTGCCGCCCAGTCTTGAGTACCTGCTCCTCTCCTACAACCACATTATTAAACTGGAATCGGGGGACCTGGCCAACCTGACTGCCCTGCGAGTGCTCGATGTGGGTGGGAACTGTCGTCGCTGTGACCATGCCCGCAACCCCTGTGTGGAGTGCCTCACCAAAAGCCTCCAGCTGCACCCTGACACCTTCAGCCACCTCAGCCACCTTGAAGGCCTGGTGCTGAAGGACAGTTCTCTCAAAGCTCTGGAACCCAGATGGTTCCAAGGTCTAGAGAACCTCACAGTCCTGGACCTGAGTGAGAACTTCCTCTATGACTGCATCACCAAAACTCATGCCTTCCAGGGCCTGACCCGGCTACGTAAGCTCAATCTGTCCTTCAATTACCGAAAAGGAGTGTCCTTTGCCCACCTGCATCTGGCACCCTCCTTTAGGAACCTGATCTCCCTGCAGGAGCTAAACATGAATGGCATCTTCTTCCGGTCCCTCAGTGAGTACACCCTGAGGTCGTTGTTCCACCTGCCCCTGCTCCAGACTCTGCATCTGCAGATGAATTTCATCAACCAGGCCAACCTCAGCATCTTTGGGGCTTTCCCTAGGCTTAGTTTCGTAGACTTGTCAGACAACCGCATCAGCGGGACTCCAACCCTGGTGAAGGCCCTTGGGGAAGCAGATGACCAGAACCGGGTCTGGCTGGGGCCTGAAGACCTTGCTCCAGTCCCGCTGGGCAACCCCAGGTTTGAAGACTTCATGTTCAGCTGCAAGAACATCCCATTCACCTTGGATCTGTCTGGGAACAACCTGGTGACACTGCGGTCAGAGATGTTCACCAGCCTCTCCCACCTCCGGTGTCTCATCCTGAGCCACAACTGCATTGCACAGGCCGTCAATGGCTCACAGTTTCAGCCGCTGACCAGTCTGCAGGTGCTGGACCTGTCCCATAACAAACTGGACCTGTATCACGGGCACTCATTCACAGAGCTGCCTGAGTTAACAACCCTGGACCTCAGTTACAACAGCCAGCCCTTCGGCATGCAGGGCATAGGCCACAACCTCAGCTTTGTGTCCCGGCTGCACAAACTGCGGCACCTCAGCCTAGCTCACAATGGTATCAACAGCCGTGTGAACCCGCGGCTCTGCAGCAGCTCCCTGCAGACCCTGGACTTCAGTGGCAACACTGTAAGCAGCATGTGGGCGGAGGGAGACCTCTACCTCCACTTCTTCCAAGGCCTCAGAAACCTACACAAGCTGGACCTGTCCCAGAATCGCCTACATATCCTTCTACCCCAAAACCTGGACAGCCTCCCTAAACCACTGACACATCTGAGTCTCCGTGACAATTACCTGGCCTTCTTCAACTGGAGCAGCCTGAGCCTCCTACCCAACCTGCTGAACCTGGACTTGGCAGGAAACCAGCTGAAGGCCCTGACCAATGGCACCTTGCCCAATGGGACGCAGCTGCAGAGGCTGGATGTCAGCGGCAACAGCATCACCTTCGTGGCCCAAGGGTTCTTTGCACTGGCTACTGACCTACGGGAGCTCAACCTCAGTGACAACATTCTCAGGACCATTGAGTCCTCCTGGTTTGGGACTGTGGCGGGCAATCTGAAAGTCCTGGACGTGAGAGCCAACCCCCTCCACTGCACCTGTGGGGCGGCTTTCGTGGACTTCCTGCTGGAGGTGCAGCATGCTGTGCCCGGTCTACCCAACCAGGTGAAGTGTGGCAGCCCCAAGCAGCTCCTGGGCCGTAGTATCTTCACACAGGATCTGCGCCTCTGTCTGGACGAGGCCCTCTCCTGGGACTGCTTTGGCCTCTCGCTCCTGGTGGTGGCCCTGAGCCTGGTGGTACCAGTGCTACAGCACCTCTGTGGCTGGGACCTCTGGTACTGCTTCCACCTGGGCCTGACTTGGCTTCCCCGGTGGGGCCCCCGTGGTGCCCAACCCCTGCCCTATGACGCCTTTGTGGTCTTTGACAAGGCGCAGGCTGCAGTGGCCGACTGGGTGTACCACGAGCTGCGGGTGCAGCTGGAGGAGCGCCGGGGGCGCCGGGCACTGCGCCTGTGCCTGGAGGAGCGGGACTGGGTGCCTGGCAAGACACTCTTCGAGAACCTGTGGGCCTCTGTCTATGGTAGCCGCAAGACACTCTTTGTGCTGGCCCACACTGACCGGGTCAGCGGCCTCCTGCGCACCAGCTTCCTGCTGGCCCAGCAGCGTCTGCTGGAGGACCGCAAGGACATTGTGGTGCTGGTGATCCTCAGCCCCGATGCCCACCGCTCCCGCTATGTGCGGCTGCGCCAGCGTCTCTGCCACCGGAGCGTCCTGTTCTGGCCCCAACAGCCCAGAGGTCAGGGCAGTTTCTGGGCCCAGTTGGGCACAACCCTGACCAGAGACAACCGTCACTTCTATAACCGGAACTTCTGCAGGGGACCTGCAGCCGAGTAGCCAGCTGACTGTCTCCATCTTGCCCCTGCCTACCCCAGGTGTGTGCCCCACCTGGCCAGCTCCACTGCCTCCCTACCCACTGCACAGCCAGCATACAGCATGGGCTCAATAAATGCTACCAACCTGCTAGTCCCCAGCTCACTGGAGGTATGGGTGGGAGCAGAGGGGAGAACTCTCCAGGCTTCTGTTAAATGAAGAGCAGACAAGAGGCTATTGGGGGGAAAAACAGGGCCTACAGGACAAAGTCAGCTTCAGGGCAGGTTTAGTTGCGGGCATTTTTAAGGGAGAGTGAAGTTGCCCTTGGACCTTCCTAGAGAAGGGGGGCAAATCTACCTCTCACATCCCTTCCTCTATCCTCTGCCTGGTCAGCACCCCTCTCTCAAGGGTTAATCTCAGGTATCTGCTTCCCTCCCCTCAAGTGCACAGAACCTGTGGACCTGTTCTTTCCTGCCCTCTTGCCAGCAGTCTTTTTTTTTTTGGGGGGGGGGACTGGGGATTGAACTCATAACCTTGTACCTGCCAGTTAGACGCTTATGCCACTGAGCTAAATCCCTGGCGCCAGCAGAGTCTTAAGCATATGCCAGCCCAGGGCAGTATCTATTCCCTAGGAGAAAAAAATGGATTTATGGCAGCATGTGCGGGGCGATTGCGCCTCCTGGTGGCCGTACCTATGCTGTGTGGGGAAGGCTGGCTTAGGCTTGAGAGGTTTTTGTGGGGATGTCCCTGCAGTAGACCTCAGGAGACTCCAAGACCAGTTCATAATGCATTCTTTTCTGCTTCTCCCTACCGGGGGATGTGGCTGTACAATGGTGGGGCCCCTTCCTTGCTCTTCCTCTCGGATTTCATTGCACTGAGCCTAGAAATAGACCAAGCTGAAGTATGTCCGTTTCTTTTTGCTATTCTGGGGATTAAACCCAGGGCCTTCAACGTGAGCTACAACCATGGCCCTTTGTATAAAATTTTGAGACAAGGCTGAAGCAGGTGAAACATTGTGAGTTCAAGGTCAGCCAGTTCTACATAGTGAGTTCAAGGCCAGCCCGAACTGATGAGATCTTATTTAAAAAAAAAAAAAAATTTTTTTTTTTTTTTGAGATAGATTCTAGCTATAATCACCCAGGGTGGACTCAAACTTGCAATCCTCCTGCCTCAGCTTCTCAAAATGCTGGAATTACAAGTGTGTGCCATTGTGTCTGGCTGTTTTTGATATGCATTGTAGGTTTCAGGGCACAGAGAGGGGATCAGTGTTTGGAGACCGCTTGTTTAGAATCTGCATTCAACAAGTGCATGAGTTGTGGATTTTTCCAGGCCCAGAGCCCCTGAAGAGCTTTGTCTTAGACTGGCTGCCTATACCATCACCACGCCAAACCTGCCCTTTCAGCAGTCTGGAAGAGCTGGACTGGAATGGCAGGAGAACAGAACTAGTATGGCTGGTTGGCCAGTCTGCCGGGAGGATGGGGGCTGGTCCCACACTGCTGTTTTTGCAGAGAGTTCCCGGCAGCTCTAGTGTGTGGGTTGCTTCTCCCACCCACCCCCACTCCCGTTCACATCCAGGGCGGAGCTGTGAGGCATGTATGGGCCACCTTCCTCTTTCTGCCCTCACAGGAGTTCCTGCTATGCTGTCTCCTGCTGTCTGCCTAAATAAAAGACAGAATCCATCCATTCTGACATAGCCGGCTTCCTGGGCCTGCTGGGGAAAAGAAAAAAGCAAACAAGAGCAGTCTTTTCAGTGCACACCTATAATCCTAGCCAGCGTGTGGGAGGCTGAGGCAAGAGGATTGCTGTGAGTTCAAGGCCAGTTTATCTCCAAAAAAGGGAAGAGAAAAGCAATCTCTTCTCTGAGGGTAAATCCTGGGTAAGTCCCTGTTAAATGATTTTGAGATTATTCCTGAAACACCAAGAACAGGAAGCAGGAAGCAGGAAGCAGGGCCCTGTGCTGGGCACCATGTCTTGCTTATAAAGAAGCAAAACCTGAAAGGAAAAAGACAAAAAAACCAAAACAAAACAACAAAAAAAAAAAAAACAATGGGGCTGGAGATTTAGCTCAGCGGCGTAAGTGCCTGCCTTGCAAGCAGGCAGTCGTGAGTTCAATCCCTGGTACCGATAAAAAGGAAAAAGACAAAAAAAAAAAAAAAAAAGAAGCAAAACCTGCCCATCTCCCTGGAGAGCAAGCCTTCTCTGCAGCAGTTTCCAGGTCAGACCTCATGTACCTGCCCAGAGAGCTGGCGACTCAGGAGCAGTTCACAGATGAAGCCAAGAGGCCGTGGAGGGCTTTGTTTGGCTCCACTGAAAGAGTTCTTATCCCAGGCTCCGTGCTATCTGTGGGCTGGAAGCGACGGTACTGCACTATTTCTGGCCCGTTGGAGGCTGCTGAGATGGATAGAGTGGAGCTGGATGGGGGCCCAAAGCTGCTGGTGGCTCACACAGACACACACCCCACCCCATCCCCTCGCTCCATGCCACCACTATTCCCACCTATGAACACTGCTGACTTGGGTCTGATGGGCAGTCTCTCCCTCTGCCCACCCTTCAGGTTGTCTTGAGCAGGTGATCTTCCCTTGGGGGGCCTCAATTTGTTCATCTGTAAGGCAATTGGCCAAGGCCACTGCACAGGTATTTTAAGGGTCAGTGGAATATGCATAAAGGTCTATAAAAACCTGGTAGGGCCTCAGTTGCCATTATTAAGTATTGAAATTCTTCTTGAGATAGTTTTTTTTTTTTTTTTTTTTTTTTGAGACAGGGTCTTGCTATGTAGTATAGTACTGTAAAGGCTGGCCTTGAGCTCACTGTAAAGTCCAGGCTGAACCTGAACTCATAGCAATCCTCTTACCTCATCCTCCAGAGTGCTGGGATTACAGGACATGCCACTATGCCCAATTTACACAGTTTTGTTATGTAGCCCAGGCTGGGTTTGAATTTAGTGATCTTCCTGTCTCAGCCTCCAGAGAGATGGGATTACAGGTCATGCTAGGTATCAGGGTTTATGCTCAGGCCCATCAGCTGACATGTCTTCAGTGATTATCTCTCAACCCAAAGAATGAACCCCTCCAACCTGGGGCTTGCCCAGAGCACTAGCAGTGTCCAGCCAGAGACAGGTGTGATGGACTCAGAAGTCCAGAAGGCAGGGGATAACAGCTCTCCCTGGGAGGACCTGTTGAAGCCTGATGTTTCCCCCTTTTTGGGAGAAATGAGTGCTAGACAAGCTGTGGTATGCAGGATTTAGGAAGATGGAAGAAATTATCAACATGGAGAAAGTCTGTCCCTTAAAATTTAAACATGTAGGTGGGGCGAGGTCGTGCATGGTTGTGATCCCAGCACTCAGGAGCCTGAAGCAGGAGATATGGCAAGCTCTAGGCCAGCCTGGGCTCCAGAGTGAGACCCTGTCTCAAAAAACAAAAATGCAAATAAACAAAGACTTAAACATGTAACTCGAGGATTGCTGTGAGTTTGATGCCAGGCTGGGTTACAGAGTGAGTTCAAGGCCAGCCTGAACCTCACAGTGAGACCCTGTCTCAAAAAACAAACAAAAAACAAAACATGCAACTCACACTCTCCCCCATTACGCCTTTGTGTCCCAAGCTTCTAAATATTCTTGAAAAACTTCCATGATGGCACAGTTTCACACCAGACAGCCTGTAAAAGCCAGGCTTCCCAATCTGAAGCAGTTCACTTAGAGGTCTACCCCTGCAGCTCCTCCCTCTCACAGATGCAGGGGGGCAGAAGTGCTGGGAGGGACCACAGGGAGCCCTGTGGTGGGAACAGTGCCCCAACCAGGGTGCACAATGCATCTGAGGTGAGTGGGTGTGGGCACTCCAGGCCTGGGAACTTAAGGGACAATGGAAGGCTCTGCAGCAGAGCTGGGAGGGCAGAGGCATTTCCTGAGCAGGAAGGAACCCTATCTCTGTGATTCTGAGGCAAAGTGACTTCCATCAGACCCAGCAACTGTCCACATGAATGGTTATCTGATATGAGCAGCCGGTGACTCCCCAGTGCAACCGGACCTAAGCCCAGGGTCACTCCCAGCACAACTCTGCCCTGGGAGGAGAAGCATGGCTACTCTCCCAGGGCTGCCAGAGGGAAGGGTAGTCGAAGTCTCCTCACCTCCACCTGGGCAGTGCGCCTCTGGTTTACCTGATCTTTCCAGGAGACTTAAAACTCACCGGGGTCCACTTTGGGGTCACCATGCATTTGCTTACTACCTACCACATAGCAGGTCTGTCCTGGCCTTGGAGGCGATAGGATAGAGAAGAAAAACATGGTGCTTGTCTTCACAGAGATGCCATACAGCAGGGCAGAGGGTCAGAAGGAAAAATGTCACAGTTGGTGGTAACCAGAGTTTTGAAGGACAGCCAAGCAGGCGGTCTAGCAATGGGACAAACTCAAGAGAACACACAGGGAGGCATGCAAGAGGGTCTCCTTGGGGACATTGTCCTGGGTGAAGGGGCAGCTGTGGCATGGCATAACCCAGCAGCAGGAAAACACAAGCAAAAGCTGGTCAGCACAAAGACACAGAAGCTAAGGAAACCTGAGTACTCGGGGCATGTGAGCCCCAGCACACGAAGCAGAGGAAGTAAGTAAGGTGGGGTGAGCTACAAGGCTGAAAAGCTGGAAGGAGCCTGGTCCCAGCTTGGTCAGCTCTGGGGAATCCAGAATTTAATCCCACTTCTGCTGAAGACTGGAATCCTTGCTGTGGTGGCGTGGCAAGACCTCAGGCTGCTGCTGGGGTTCGGGCAGACGGTGGCAGCAGCAGAGGAGGTAAGAAGTGGCCTGGCCCGAGGTGTGTTCAGGACGTGCTAACAGTGTGGAGAGATCAGCTGGCTTCTACATGAGGAGCCTGGGTGTGCCATAGAGATGACCAGGTCAGTCTGAGTGAGGAGCAGGCAGGGGAGGGGTGGGCTGACTCCTGCATGGGCCTGGGAGGTGCCTGTCTGACCCAGTCAGTGATGTGCAGGCCGTGGCTGGGAGAGGCTCTGAGGGGCAGGCACAGCAGAGGCAGCACCAGCAGATGAGAGGCTCCAGCTGGAAGGACAGACTGCTTCATGCCAAGATGAGTGACAAAGCCTGCTGCAGGCCAATGGGAATGGGACCAGGGACAGCCATGGGAATATGCAAGGAGCAACAGGATTCAAATA